AAAACATATCAGGTTAAATCAACACTGTAAGATAGATCGTACTGTGTCAAGAGAGCCTGTATGTATTACTGATTTATTAACCTAGGAAGTTAAACTCTCATATTAGTTAGTGACATCAGTCTGGAGAGACGGAACACGGATATTTATTGGATTAATACAGGGATAAATTATTGATCAAAATGCCTGAAGATTCTACAGCTAAACCTGCCGAGAATGTCCCTGAAGAAGCCCCTAAGGAAGAAGCTTCAAAAACTGGTGAAGCTTCAGCTAAGCCACCAGCTATCAGGTATTGATATGTTATTTCCTTGATAGGATTCTATAGCTTACTGATATGTTTAGTTATTCACTATATGTTCTGTGTTTTCCTCATTAGTAATTGCAGTGTTTCATTTACATCATTTAAGCATCTGTGACATTGACAGAGGGCATCTTTCTTGTACATCATTAAAGTATATCACTACATCAGGAATTATATCATATTGAAGGTCTTAGGATTATGATTTTTGAGCTCTTGTTTGTCTTTTCATCTCAAGTTTTGCTTCTTTGTATATTGGCAGTACTTTAGTAGCATATGGTTCCATTTGAATTGCTGTATTGGATAAGCCGGAAATTAAAAGAAATATATAAGCTGTTGCTAGGATACCTGTCAAGTAAAGATTGGACGAGGCTAGATATTTTCATAATGGAGAATATCTCTTCATACCGCCAAAAACATAATTATTGTTAAGCAGTATTTACAGTTTTATCACCAGGATTGATGTACATGTATTAGAACAGTTAGACATGTAATTAATTGAATGAAGACAATTCAAGACATCCATATTTTATGGGAAAATATGTAGGCATATTTTGTTTAAAATATGGTCAAATTCCTCACTGCCTCCATTGAGTGAAAGATGGGTTAGTCAATTAGCATGTCCAGCCAGCATTGTCTATTATGACTTGATTATGAAAAATGGATGAAGTAATAATAATGTCCATTGCTATTTTCATGATATTCTGTCTCAGTTCAATCGAGGTCATCGAGGACATGTGCACTCAAACATTGGTTTGGGTGAAAAAATAAGGCTTCAGAAGGAAAATAAACATTGTAATTTTGTACATGTCTGTTATGATTTATCAGTTGTACCAGGTGTTATAACCAGGATTACAATCCACAATACACAGTATATATATGCTTGTACTATAAATCTTGTGATTGAAAACCTTGTATAATATACAGTTTGTATGTAGTCATATGATACCATTGCTATACTTAAGTTGTTTGTTGTTTTTCTATAATTATCTCCTTCACAAAGAGGCACTCTCAAATAAAAGTCATTTTGACATTCCGTTCAATGTTGTAAATTATTTAAGAAAATTGTTTTTATGTCTACTTCGAGAATAAGATAACTGTACAGGGAAACCTCTTTGTAGGGAACACCTCAGTATATTCAGATAATATTTTGTTCAGAATTTCAAGACTTAAGAATGTCAAGAGGAATTGTTTAAACAAATTTTGTAAGATTCCATCATCTAGATTTTCATACATTAACAAGTGTTTTTTGTTGCATTTATGGAAGGGTCTTCAATTTGTGCTATAGTTTAAGGTCTCGCATCATTCAAATACTGTGATATTATAAGAAAGGGTCGTCTTTTCATGCATTACACGAAATTCACTCTATAGTATAAAGTAAATCAATAACAATATTTTAGTTATAATGATGATGATATCCCTAGTGTTTTTCTCATCTGGGTGTACAACTACAGTTTTATCAATTTTGATTGACAACTACTGTACTCCATGTATTGTTCGCGTGCGATTTAATTTCGCTTTGTTCGCGAATGTAGTAAAATCGCGAACATTTATCGTCGCGAAATTTGTCTTTCAAAAACTCCTGGGATTTAATCCGGGAATTTCGATATGTTTCGTCCAGTGTTGTTTGGCGATCAGAAAAAAGGCATAAAAATTTTGAATTAGCTTAAATAGGCCAACAAAGGCAAGAACTGTTGACGACAATGATATCCTACAAATTGAAGTTGAAAAAGCCATTTAAGAATATTCAAATAAATGCCTTAAACGTGGGAAATACAAACATGTTAAGCTCATGCATATGTAAAAAGGCATGTAAGTGTATTAATATTATCATTAGAGTTTACAGAGCTGGAGGAAAAAATCAACTAGTGCAATCCGCGAAATGTCATCAACTCAAATCAGCGAAATTAAATAGCCGCGAACTCGCACTTTTGAAAAATCGCAAAATTTTATAGCGTCGATATTTACCAGGAGTACAGTATCCTAACTTGCTCTATTTGTTCATTGTTAGAATGATTGCGAACACAATTGCAGGTTTTATTGTACATAGACCTCATATGTCAAATTCTATTCTAAGTTATTAGAGTGTAGCAAAGGGACTTATACTAGAATGAGAATATGTTGTATCATTCCATTCTGATAATATTTCTATCTTGTATATTTCTGACTTAAACGAGCGTATATGAGTTGGTATGGTTATCCCACCGAACGAAGTTCGAGGGGGATATAGGAAAGCTGTCCATCCGTTCGTCTGTTTGTCCGGGTGATAACTCAAATACTGGTTGACTGATTTGATTTGAATTTTATAGACGTATGCCTTATGAGGGTAGGGACAAACAAGCTCTGCTCAAGAAGGAATTTTTAAGATGGCCACTAATAATCAAAATATGTTTTGTTTGGTGGGATTTGCTACTCTGTGGAGTTGCTGTTTTTCTAGTTCTAGTTTAGTAAGATCTGTTTTGCTCTTCTTTAAATGTTGCCCTTTGTGGTCTTTGATGCAGATTGTGGACATGTATATTGTTACACAGGTTGACACCCAGTCCTAGTAGATGAAAATATGGTCAGTTAGGTAAGATAATGTAAATGAATAGAGCACCTTCTCTATTTGTTTGATTTTGCTACTCTAAAAGAGAGCTTCAACTACGTATATATGATAATTACAAGGCTTTGTACCTCAGCGTGTAAATGGAGAGTTTCCCCCCCCCCCCGAGGTATCTCTTGGGTTGTCTCTCATACTATAGTTACCCATTGTTTAATGTTGAATGACACATAATGACTGGAGATATATAAAACATTTTGGGGGCTATCTTTGAGACAATTGAACTGGGTATTGATGCTGAAGTGAAGCTTGATCATGCCGGCTGACAGAATCCTATTGATATGCATAGATGTTACTAAGATTACATTTTGTATTCTATACACAAAGTCCCAGTGTGGATGGGATTTAGAGACTATTGTTACAAGGAAATGAACAGGAACATCCATTCAATGGTCATTGCAGGAATCATAATGGAAATGGAAGAGTAACTGAGTTCTTCAGTATTCAATTGACTTTCTTTCATTGTAGTGAGCCATAATGCCTTTTCTATCTCTGTCCCCTTGTCGTGCAACAGAGATGCTTTGAGTGTCTTTTGAAATACTTATGGCAATGTTAGATGGACTATTACATTTTGTTCATCATGATATTGCTAGCTAAACTGAGTCAGATGGGTTTCACGTTATAGGAAATTACTGCAACAAAGCGTATACTTTCATTATAAATTAGAACTAAGTAGCACTTATTCTGTAAGAGTTTTGAACATTCTGATCAATTCATGGTATAGTTCTCTGTTATTCCATATTCCCTGCAGGGATTGGGGGATATTGCTATTCTAACTTAGTTAGACTGTATTGAAAGATATTATATTTTTGCCAAATATGAGTGCACATTCTTAAGTCATGATTGTATTATATTAATATGCAATTATAGCAATTTTTCACAAATATAAATGTCTTGTGATAAACAACTTGAGTGACTTTTAGTAGATTTTTGAGAGTTTGTTTACTGTAGAATGTATGGTATCTTTATTTCCCCAGAGGACATTTGACCTGACAATATAATTTGACATTCAAGTAGCACATGAGCATAGTGGCCTGTTGGCTGGTACTCTTGGCCTCGTAGCAAATGTTTACCTGTTGCTAATTATCTATATACCAGATAATTATAATATGCAGATGCAGGATAAAGAATGAAAACTGCAAAAGTTAACCAATCAAAATTTTTTTTCTTTATCAACCTTTAACATCAGTAGATGTAGAGATTGAGAATGTGTTTCACTGCTGTTTTAGATATGGACTGTTTACAATTAATAATACGTCCAATCCTGACCCATCTCTCTCAGTCTCTCACCTCCTATGTGGAATAGAATAGAAATAGTGCAAGACTACTTGTTTTATTGATGTTGAGAAGATGATTTCTGCATGATTAAAGAATATTTTCTGTTTAATGAGCTGGAAAAGCTTCTGATAAATGATATATTTCAGATTAATAAAAAATCAATTTGTAATGGCTTGATTTCAATATTCATCCCCAGAGTTTTTTTCACATGGATAAAAAATTCCCCTTTGAACATAGTTATGACCAATTTGAGATTTCTCTTTTGAGAGATTTCTTAATGTCTCAAGTAGGTGCAATGTTACTTCAGTGGGAGATCACTTGGTTAATTATTAGATGCTTCTCCATCAGGAGCTGATTGGGTTGTGCATGGTACAACTTAGAATTTTTACCTTCCTACCAATCACTCCACTGTAATACAATTTAGCCCTGGTTTAGAACCACTAAATGAATGGGGGTAACAATGCTTATTCATAGCAATATTAATTATATTTTGAGATTTAGGGTTAAATTATACAATTATAAACATTTAAGCATATTAAAAAATCTCAAAATGAGATAATGAGCCAGATTTTGTGAGTTTCCTAACTGGATTCAAAACGATTTTCAACTGATTGCTGCACAGTCCCTTTGAATTCTCAGCTGGGTACAACATTTGGAAGCTTGCTCCAGTGCTTTGCAGCATTCTTTCTCCTGTTTTCATAGGAATTAATAAGACACAAGAAAAGGGGACGTCAGTTACTAGTTTACAGAGACTCTAAGAGCTGATGTCAAAACTTTCATTTATACATTGTTGAAACAATAGTCTATTATCACAATATTATTTTTCAGTCTGTCAACGAATCCCAAAATTATGACTGGAAGAACTTTGATTGTGACTGGTGCCAACTCTGGTATTGGATACGAGGCTGCCCGCTATCTCTGCGAGGGAGGCAATGACGTCATCTTGGCCTGTAGGAATGAGGAGCGTGGAAAGGAGGCATTGAACAAGATTAAATCACAAAATCCAAATGCTCTCGTAACTTTTATGCAGGTATTTTTTCATTTTTCTATATCAAAACTTTGAAAATTATATGGTATTTCTAGCGTATTCATTAAAAACTCTGAAAATATTCTTTCATCTTCTAATTATGTACTTTCAGTTGTATAGATAAATTAATTTGATATAATCATGGTTTGATTGATTAAAACAATTCTGAAGTACTTTTAAAGTCACCTTATATAGGGTCAAGATAATGAGACTCCTAATGTGGGAGTTCTTCAAAGCAACCACAATGTTAGTATTTGTTTTGTGAAAACATATCTTATCTTATAGGAAGTAACTTATACATTTGGATCATTTGTCACAATAATAGCAGTTTTCTCACCAGGGTTTTTCTCAGCTGGCTGTGTAATTTCATTTTACATCCTCTAAATAAGAGCTGTCTAAAGCACTACAGGCTGATTTTTCATATTTCCAACCCTGAGTTAATAGAGATTATAATTAACTGGATGCTAGGATGATTATATGAATATGAATGTAAAACTGCATTGGGTTCAGGGCCTAGTTCCTTTAATACTTGGTGTAATGAGTAATGGCCACTATGTAGGCATGATCATGTCTACTTAGCTTCCCTGCCCACACAACTTATCATTTCTGATCTGAGTGAAATAGCATTGATGCTTGAGATTTGCAGAGAATCAATAATCATTTTGGATGTTAAAATGGTACTAGTTTATAAAGTAGAAGCATTGGTGGAAATTAGTGAAGATTTTAGATGCAGAAATTCAATAAAAATGACTTAAGTCCAGCTCTTAAAAATCAAGTCTTAAAGGCTTAAAATCAAAGGATTGTCATGATATCAACTGTCAGAACTGTGAGATGTTTAAGAAAATAGGTAGGGCGTGGGATGTTGCAACAAAGGATAATGTAAAATTGTGACAATTTTTAGAAACTCGCATCTTCTCTCTATTTTCATAACCTGTCTCTAGTCTTTATTGCATCTAATGAAGCAGTAATTTCATTAGCAGCTGAATTGCTTTCAACTGATATTTTGTACTTATGCAAAGTCTCTTGGTTTGAAGATTTGATCAGGACTTCTTTCAACAAAGATTTTCCATGATCTGTGTTAAGCATCCTGTCTTCTAAAAAAGGGTTGTAGAATAGGACTGGTTAGTTAGATTTTAAATAGACTCAAGTAATGTATGAAATTGCACAACCTTGTAGCATGGCATATCACTTTCTTTTCACAAGGGAACAACATGCCAAGAAAAGCTAACCTTGACATACTGTGTTAAAACAATCATAAAACACATTCTTTTTATGCTGTAAGAATTGCTGTATACAAGACAACATTCCCATCCTGGATAATTTGTTATGCTTTAAAAAAGTGTAAAGTCTGTATTATGTTAAGGATGAATGTCAGATAAAAATGCTGTATCAGGTTTGAAATTGCTTCATTTGCAACACAGTGATGAGGTGACCTTGGAGATATGAGACGAATATTGATGAGTAGAGGAAATTACACTTCAATTTTCAATCTTGTACCTTGATCTTAACTGGACTTCACTTCCAATTATTCCCAAGCCAATATCTCTGAATGTTTTATGATCATTGAGTCTATCAGTGCTTTGACTAACAAAATTACATTTCATAATGATACATTCATGTTGAGAGTACATGAGTTATTGAGGTTGTGTAACACTTTTTTGTTCCAATGGTTGATAAGATGTAACACAAGGTTGTTTCAATGCTTGAGAAGATACAGCTCAAGATTATTTCAATGCTTGATTTGATGCATCATCTGGTTGTTTCAATACTTGATATTAGATGCAGCCCTTGTATCTATTGGTTGTTTCAGTGTTTAACTTATGCAGTAGTTTGGTTGTTTTTGTGCTCAATTTGATAAAGCACTTGATTGTTTTCAATGCTCAATTAAATGCCTAGTTGCAGCAAACAGTTGTTCAATAAAATCACAACAATGTTTTTCACTGTTCAGTACTGTATAACATGAAATATTGCCGTGGATCTAAAGTTGCCGATTGCCGAATGTAAAACAGAAACGGCAACATAAAATTCGGAAATATAATTAAGTAATTGAAGATCGATCTTAGTGGGCGATGATATGGTAGTTGTCTAACGTGTGTCAACTTACTGTAATAGGATAATTTTCTAACGAGTATCAACTAACTATACTTTAATAAAAATCATAAATAAAATACGATAAAATTGAATCTTTATTCCCCAGCTTAAAATTACAATAAAAAGTTAATAATTAAAATGATGCAGTTAAAATGCATGCAGTAAATTCTATAAGATATTAAAAGGATTGTCATGTTAAAAAGTTAAAATGTCAGAAGATCTATTTGTATCCAAGTGCTTTGGAAATCCCAGTATTAAAAGTTTTTAATCCCGATATTAAGTTTTTAATCCTGGTATTAATTGTCCTGAATCTGTCGAATGCGGGTAATCACTCAAATTGTCACTCATAATGTCAGGATGTCAGGTTTTCTGAGTCAGTCAAATGAAGGTGATTAAAATTCAGTTGTAAATCAAAATTATACTAGGGGTGTCAGCTTAGCAATATTTATTTATTTGGCTTTACATTTAGGGGTGTTGGCAAACTTTTATTCGGCAATAACAATTTTAATCCAATTCGGAAAATAAAGCACCCGGATTTAATACATGTTATACAGTATAACATATCATTATTTTACTTTACAAGTGTTTGCTTTCAAGTTAGGTGTTGTTGTACAGAAATGTTGATGAGTTGTGATATAAAAGCTAGGTGTTATGAGCAATTGAAGAGGTTTCAGCAACAGAAGATAACCCCGTAGGCCTTGCTAAGTGGAACAAAGTGTTTACCCTACTTGCAAATCATTTCCAGTGACTGTTATTCTTCATTATTTAGTTTTTAAGGCCTATAAGACATCTTAAGAGTTTCTTTTATTGAAGTCAATGGGTCTTCTGCTGTGTTGCTTTCTCCAAAATCTATATTTTGTGTATAATCTATGATTTGTGATATCTTCGTATACCAGGGGTAGTTGCTATTGAGTAAAGTTGTAAGGGTTCAGATTTCTAAGTGTTGTGTTTAAGAACCAAGTAAGCATGCTATTTTGATTGTATTATCTCAGATCTACATTCAAGCTCTTGAAAAGTATTGCTTTATCATTGTGGCTTCATTGTGCGCTGTAAGCTGAATTTAATCATTAAATAAATGAAACATTCAAAGAAATCAGCTCTAAGGAAGCAAGATCCTCTTAGATATCAGAGTAAGGGGCTGGGTCCATTGTGGTTCAACAGCAGGAAGAGAAGGGACTCAGATAAATCAGAATGGGATGGGTCATGTTGTCTATCTTATAAAATACATATCCCAGCTCATACAAATCTGGATATAATGAAAATAGCCATTGACCCTTTATCTCAGATTTAATGAACAATTGTGTCATCCATTTATTTACTTGACATCTAAGACAACACTATGCTTTATTTTCAGCTTGATCTTGCAAGTGTTGAATCTATTAAGAAGTTTGCAGAGGAGTTCAAAACATCTGGAAAGAAGCTTCATGGTTTAGTGAACAATGCCGGAGTCACCCAGGCCTTTAAAGACACCACCAAACAGTTCACAACTGATGGCTATGAACTCACCATGGGTACTAACCACTTGGGTATGTGTTCTTCCTTTCTACAAATTACTTTTTATCTGAAATTTTTTTGTATATTTTTACTGTTTTTATGAACGTTTTGGTGTGGAATTCATTCTGATATTCATCACATCTTTCTTTCAACTGGCTTGCAACATGATTGACAAAGATTGCATGTTTATCATGTTGTTTGAAATTAATTGCACAATATCGCCAGAAATATTCCTTTTACAAATACTGTAAATAAAAAGTAAATAAGAAAATTAAACAATAAAAAATAAACATGGATATATGAAAACATTTCCACAAGAATTTGAAGGACCTGGGTTTCTTTTCATATGGAATTGTTGATAACACCCAGACATTTTACAATTTCAATCTATTCAACATTGTACCATGAACCAGATTACTTATTTTTAAAATTATATCCTATAGCTAGACTTTGCTTCCAATGTGCCCCTCATTTCCTATCAATGCTTTGATGTGCCATGTCTAGACTTCACCAAATCTCATGTTTCAGTAGTTGCATTGGCAATACCTGCAAGAATACTTTGTTTGGTATAATGCTGGAAATAATGATGAATTAATTAAGATAAAATGAAAAATGTTTCAGGTCCATTCCTGTTAACTCACCTGCTCCTAGATGACTTGAAGAAAGCTGCAGAAGATGGCGGAGATGTTAGGATTGTTAATATTGCATCATCTTTACACAATCCAGCCACTATGAAGCGTATGGCAAAAGGTGAGTCTTGTATATGGGAGAAATATCTCTATTGTTGTTCTCAGAACTAAGTGATTCCCATATGTGTGGTTCTGTGCCCATATAAGGCTATATTCAGTGGCCAAATCCCAAACTACGGAGAATAATTGTCACTTTTTATACCCTGAAGAATTCATGAATAGAATGTTGAGAAAATCTATGATTCTATAACACGGTGCCCATGTCAAGCTGCGCGCCTACTTAGGCGCGCAGTTTGTTTCGATCACAAACTGCGTGCCTAAGAACATTTAAGTCTGTATTTTGAAACGTAATTTAAAGACATTTATCCTACATTGCTTTCTTGTTCAATGCGTTCATTCTGTGGCGAATATACGAATCTTGCAAATACTAGCAAAAACTATGTGCAAATGAATCTAAGTTTTAAAACATAAGCAGATTAATGGCATTTTCGTCACTGATTTAACGGGAATTTATACGTAAATCGATCTAGCACTTTAAACATAAATGACAAATACTTTAGACTCATTTTATATTTAATTCCTTACACATTTATCATGTATAATTCAAAATATTTCGAGATAAAACAGATAATCAGGAGATTAAAAAGAAATAAATCACAAACTGCATGCCTATTTTAGCCAGAAATTACAAACTGTGCGCATACACTATTAAAACTACATATTATCATTGGAATATCTACAGAGGCACGTGTAGGTGTTTTTCATGTAGCTTTGGAAATTTTGCTTTATCGTCAGATTTTATGAGATTTTCATATTGAAAGTCAAAATGTATAATAGAAGTGACAATTATGGGGTTCTACTATTAGACACAAATGTGCCTTGTATGGCGCTTATGTTTTCTAATAATACAAAACAAGCTTGGATAGGCAAGCAGTTTGGAAATATTAGGCACGCAGTTTGGGAAATACATGCGAATATTGGCGAGCAGTTTGACAAGAAAAATGTTTAAATCACGTTTATGGCATATTATCGTTTTGAACACAAACTTTGCTGATTTAATCAGATGGAGTGATCCTATATATTCTAGCATACACAGACACAATGGCTGAATAAATGGCAAATGACGATAAAAAGACATAGATATAAATTTACACTGTAAATTTTGAACACAGAAGTTACTTAAGACCCTTATATTGAGATATATCGGGAAAAACATTGAGTACAATGAGTAAATTAAGTTCATCTTCACAGAATGGTACTATCTTTAGAACGAGACTAACCTTGTATTTTTCGTATTTTGGCTCTTTTTGGGAGTCGTGTCCTCCCCGTCTCACATTTTGAAATATGCGCGCAGTTTGTCAGAGTTTGAAACTGCGTGCCTAGTAGGCATGCTGCTTGACATGGGCATCATGTATAAAATTAAAGGAGGAAATCCCCATTATCAGTGATCAAAGCAGAATTCAACTAACTTTTAATATTTTGATGCATTCTATAAGATAGTAGTAAAGAGCTTTCTATGATGTGTAATTTTGGCATTGAAATCTGCAACAGTGCTATGGATATGCAATATTTTCAGATGTACGTGACCTCGATATTGAGGATTTAATGTATGACAAAGCTGGCTCCTTCAATGGTTTACAAGCTTATAAAGATTCCAAACTGGCAGATATTATGTTTACTTATGAACTTGCAAGGAGACTTGAAGGCACAGGAGTTACTGTGAATGCCCTTAACCCAGGTAATATCACTACATGCGAGTAGAAATAATCTTGATTTTCATCATTAATATTCAAAATTCAGTCAAAGCGATGTCATATTTGAAATCTGCATGTAAATGTACATCTAGAAATATGGTTTCGAAAATTGTCTATCAACTTTGAAAATTTAATTTTTTTTGAAAATGTGACTTCTTGTTCGGGTTGATTTCCCATAGACCCCATGTTAGAAAATCACAAAAAGTGAATTATCTTTTCTTGTATTGGACAGATAACATTTTCTTTTACTGGACATATTTAAATTTGCATAAGTATTAGATACATAAGGGTTATATGAAAAATGAACCATGCAAATAGATGTAATTTAAGTTAAAGGGAACTTTCTACTATACCCACCATGCTATCTGACCCGAACGAGCCACCTGGTGGTGAATCTGGTAACTACCTACTCGCATCTGCGTTATTAAATGAACCAAGGTGGAAAATTGACAGAAAGTATTTCAGACTAGATCACAAAAATGTTATTATCACAGATTCATAAAATGTGAAACTTACATTTAACCACTTCCAACTTCTAAAATAATCAAAAACATAGTTGTAATAGTGTTAAGTATCTGACTGAAAGATTAGTTTATGCTTGATTTCAGGTTTTAAGTATCTGGCTGAAAGGTTTAAGTGCTTGATTTCAGATTTTAAGTATCTGACTGAATAGTTTATATGCTTGATTTCAGGTTTTAAGTATCTGACTGAATGGTTTTTATGCTTGATTTCAGGTTTTAAGTATCTGAATGAATGGTTTATATGCTTGATTTCAGGTTTTAAGTATCTGACTGAATGGTTTATATACTTGATTTCAGGTTTTAAGTATCTGACTGAATGGTTTATATGCTTGATTTCAGGTTTAAAGTATCTGGCTGAATGGTTTATATGCTTGATTTCAGGTTTTAAGTATCTGACTGAATGGTTTATATGCTTGATTTCAGGTTTTAAGTATCTGAATGAATGGTTTATATGCTTGATTTCAGGTTTTAAGTATCTGACTGAATGGTTTATATGCTTGATTTCAGATTTTAAGTATCTGACTGAATGGTTTATATGCTTGGTTTCAGATTTTAAGTATCTGACTGAATGGTTTATATGCTTGATTTCAGGTTTTAAGTATCTGACTGAATGGTTTATATGCTTGATTTCAGATTTTAAGTATCTGACTGAATGGTTTATATGCTTGATTTCAGATTTTAAGTATCTGAGTGAATGGTTTATATGCTTGATTTCAGGTTTCATTCCAGCAACAGGTCTCAATCGGAATACCAGTAGAGGCCAGCAGTTCTTTTTGAAGTATATTCTAGGGGGTATCCTAAGACCCATTGTGAAGTTCCCAAAAACAGTTAAGCATGGCGCTGACTGTCTCTGTGACTTAATAGCTGGTGAAACTGTTAAAGGTAATGCCTGCTGAGTTTTAGTTTGTCATTAAAGAGTATCAGAGCATAAGAGCATAAACCAAGAGATGCAATATTTAAAACAGAACATATTGAGGATATAAAAAGCATTTACGCGGCATTTATCTTTGCTCTAGCCAGTTCAGATTTTGATGGTGACAGCGTTGTTTTTCATGTGACTGCTATTTGGTGTCAGCTCTCAACATATGTAACAAGTATTTACAAGCATATGGTGACATTTTTCTATGTGAAAAACTATGCCAAAACACTTAACAATACTCTTCGTTTGCGGATTGCATATCTTAAAAATAAAAGGCTATATAAATGTGCTAAATGACAAGTGCATAATGTTTGTAGGTGTGACTGGAAAATACTTTGATGAAACAAAGGAAGGTGAGTCATCTGCAGAATCTAAAGATGAGGAGAAGCAGAAAAGATTGTGGGAGGTCAGCGGTGGACTTCTAAAGGTAGGAAATATTGCAGTCTCGATATTTTATAAATGTACAATGAAAATACAGGGTGACCGGAAAAAAAGGAGACCATTGAAATAGGCAATATCTCCTAAAATAGACTAGTGACATCAATGAAATTTTGCATACATCAGGACAGTTCTATGGAAATTTGTTCCTGAAAGTGTCAATACAAGCAGTCAACTGGTTCAGGAGCTATGATCATTTACATAACATGCTCCAAATAGGCGCAATTGAGACCAACGCAGAGCTGGATACATTTGGCAAATACCCTTACATATTCCGACCTTGTTATGGGATTACATTTAGCATTTATTGCCACCTTTAGGTCAGCAATTGTCTCAGGATTGTTTTGGTACACATTGTCTTTCAAATTGCCCCACAAAAAGAAATCAGGTGGATTCAAATTTGAGGTGTATGGAGACGAAGCTTATCTGACCTATGGCTTCTGACTCAGTGGTCCCACTCAGTTACAGTATCATCCTAAGGAGGTTTTGGGCAGCCCTTGGTTTCCATATGGGATTTAATTGTGCAATATAGTGGTTTTAGTAACATGGCACTATGCCCAATACCTAAAGTGACTCTTAAGATTGGGTAAATCAGCACTTTGGCAACAGGATGATGAACCACATGTCAGATAACCCTTCATTGCCATTACAGCCTAGACTTGAATCCTGCTGATTTCTTTTTGTATGGATATTTGAAAGACAATCTATACCAAAACAATCCTCAGACTATTGTTGACCTAAAGAAGGCAATCACTGCTATATGTAATGCCATAATAATGCCATAGAGGGCAGAACATGTAAGGGTAGTTTGCCATATGAATCCAACTCTGCGTTGGTCTCAATTGTGCCTATTTGGAGCATGTTATGTAAATGATCATAGCTCCTGAACCAGTTGAATGCTTGTATTGAAACCTTCAGTAACAAAGGACGATTCTCGGTTTGGAGAACGAAGTTCATCAATCTAAATGAGCATTATCCCTGCTTCGGACAAATTTGATTTTTTTACATAATATAGATTTGAATGTCCTCTTTTGAATAGTCATAATTTAATTTGGGTAATATTTCTAGATTTTTCGCAAAAAAATATTAGCGCAGTACACTGATGAACTTCTTTCCCCAAATCGAGACTTGTATTTTATTGAATCGGTCTAATTGAGCGTTATCCCTGCTTCAGACCAATTTGTTATTTTTACATCTTGTAGATTTAAATGTCCTGTTTTGAATATTCATAGTTTAATTTGGGTAATATTTCTATATTTTTCATGAAAAAAATTATTAGCCCAGGAGACTGTTCTCCAAACCGAGAATCGTCCTTTCCATATAACTGTTCCAGTGTGTGCAAAATTTCATTGATGGCACTTGTCTAGTTTAGGAGAAATTGATTACTTCAATGGTCTCCTTTTTTTCCGGTCACCCTGTATTTATTACAAAATGTCTAGAGATATAAGTGTAATGCCTAAATGATTGTATGACCTAAAGATTGCCAAATGAGGGGTTTCTTTCACGGCCTGGCCAATGCTATGATGTAGTTCAAACATGTACTTAATTTCAAATGAACCGCTCAAAAAAGTAATTGATTTTTATTGATCTTTCATAAGTAAAAACAAAATGTACTTTTTATTATTATTTTACTTTATTATTTATTTTAAAATTTTTGATTATTACATCATCCCCAAAAAATAATTATACTTCCATTTTGTTGATATTAAGATGACCTTTCCCCTTAAGGGGGAGGGGCAAACTCCTTCAACAGATTTGAGTGTTAAACATTTATAGGATATCCTATGATTTTGAGGAATATCATTTTTATCTACGAGGTGATATTGATATCTGCACAAGAGAGCAAAGCGAACGGGTGCATATATCAATATCACAGAGTAGATTAAAATGATATTCTGAAAAAAAATCATAAGATGTTCTTATCTTATTATCCTACACTTACAAGAAGTGTACTAAATGTATAATAGCATTGCAAAATGAATTTCATTGCCAAATAGAGTCAATTTGGCAGGAAATCAACAAGCGGAGTATATCATCACAATATCCTCCGTGTATTGGGTTTTCCGGAGTATATCGTCACAATATCCTCCGCCCAGAGTATATCATCATTCATCATGATATCCTCCAGTTATTCATTTTGCCAATAAATATCAAATTTATTTTTTAATGTTATTATACATTTAGTTCACTAAGTGTAGGATAAAAAGAATTATCTACCATATTCGTGCTTTAGGAATAGCCACCATGGGTCTTTCTAGCATAAAAATGTATTAAATGATGAGCACCAGGTGCCACTTCTCACTCTATTTGTATTTCAGATGGAAGGATTTGAGCCAATTGAGCTGAAGAAACCAGAGGAGCCCCCAGTAGAGGAGCCTGCAGCAGAGACTAAGGCTGAGGAGGCCCCTGCTGATGGTGAGACTAAAGAGGAGACTAAAGAGACAGCCGAGGAAAAGAAAGAGGAAGGTTGGTTTACATAAAACTTTTGTATGTGCTTGATAAACAACTCATTTTTCTTTACTAGGCCTTCACATAAACTTGAAGTTGAATGAAGTTAAGACAGGAAGAAGTTAAAGAATCGCTGAAGGTGTCACTCCGGTAAATACCACTTCCGGGTAGGACAGTGTTTTTTAATACTTTAAAAACGAAGCCATGCCAACTTCAATGGTGTGTATAGTAGGTTTAAGTGTATGCAATGTGGCCATTTGAGGTATGTATGTAAAGCTGAGGCCAAGTACTTTCTAAATGTGCCATTTTAAGAAAAAAAATCGCAAGAATATAGTCCCATAAACTGGAACTACTTTATTCGTTAATTTTCATAGGTGAAGCAGGGATTTTACCTGAAAATGAGTCCCTATGTTGGCGTAGTGATATATAAAAATCGAGACGCAAACCCTATGTTAAATATAGTGTCAAGATGAAGGTTATGTACAGGGGAACGCAGAAATATAGTCATTGTATGGGCTAGTTCGTTCGAAAATGGCGATATGTACCCCAGAACTTGAATTTTGTGATTTTTTTCAATATTTTTCAATGATTTACAGGAGTGACACCTGAAGGAAATTTCAGTCAAATCAATTAAAAAGGATGTACAGTTATTTCAAATTGTTTCAGGTGAAACTACAAAAGAGGATGAGGATTCAAAACCAAAAGAGGATAGTAAACCTAGTGAGGAAGTGAAGGAATCTGAGGAGAAATCTTCAGAAGATAAGAAAGAAGAAAAGTAAGGTACGATGTGATGTGTGATTAGAGTGCCACCTATTGTGTGATGTGATAACTGCACAGACACTAGTGACACCTATCATTAATCACCAGAATTAAGTTAAGATGAAGCCTCCCGAAATTATATGATGTAAAGTATTGTAATGTTCACTATGTAAGGAGAAAGGGAGAATGATGGAATAAGATGATGATAAGAGCATCACAAAATATGCTGAAAGGAACTCCCCATAAAACTGCAGAAATTATCAAGAAAGGAATGCAAGCATCTTGCCTTCTTCTACTTCTGTATATAATTAGGCTTAGTAATTCAATAGAAATAATCAAGCAAGGAACTCAATGCCTTATTTGGAATTCTTCAATATAGATAGTAATAAAAAGGTGCTGGTGGTACTTGGAAAAGATAAAAAGTTGGAACACACTTGCTTAAGTATACCATATATGAATGTATTGGTGATGCAAAACGCATTGTAGAAGTTGTTCCATGTACTGGTGCATATAATCTATATGTTGAAACATTATCATCAGCTGAGTATCAGCCGTCTTGTGCAATTCACTGCCATGTTTCTATGGAAACAGTTTTACTTGATGTTTGGATATATGATGTTAAAATTTCAATGATCAAATATAGATGTGCATTTTGCATTTGATTTATTTTATCCTAAAATTTATATGATATTGATGTATTCTATTGTAAATTCAGGAAGTTCCCCAGTAGTGTTAATGGAACTATGAGAAAATTATCCCAAACTGTGCCATTTTCAACTGTTTTCTGGGTCCTGTATATTTTCTTGTCAATGTCATGAGTAACTGGTGTATCTGCTTTGTACAGTACTAATTGATTCTAATACTATAAGTATAATGTTTTATGTTTATATATACATATTAAATATATATAAGTATTATATATGTGGGCAGATGGGTCTGTACTTGTTTATTCAATGAAGCTTGTTGGGGAACCTTAATACTGTAAATTGCCTTGATTTGACGCCCCTTTTAAATTGGAGTATTTGGCCTTTTCAGTGTTACCTTGCACCAAAAATCTTTGGTGAAAATCGTGATTGAAACATGGATAAAATTTCAATTTTAAACTATTTCCAAAGTCCCTGCTGATTTAGATAGCACAATCTGATACCAAGAAAGATAAAATTGCATTATCCATGGCGAGTTGTGAAGTGAATAATAGGATTGATGCAAAATTAAATAGGGCCAAATTAATGCAATTTACAGTAATCTGACTGTATATTTTCTGAATCATAAGATGAATTAGATAGTGTTTTCTGATATAGACCAGTAAATGCTAAAAGCAGACATAGAGCATTAGATAGAATTGAACAGACACATTAGTTCAGCATAGGAGGCATAATCTGAATGATTTAAAAAAGAATCTGACTGAATCAATGCTAGTATTAGATAGGTGTTGTTTAGCAGCAAGTGCATAATATTTTGTCAGTCATTAGTGCAATGCACAAGATGACATTGAGGTTTATAAAATTAGTTTGATATTTTTATTAATTAGGTTGATATATTTTCTATAATTTGTTCCTTTACTTGCTCACAGAATACCTCTTTCCAATATTTTGAATTCTTCAAGTATTCTGTTCTTTGATTCAATAAATCTCATCTTCCAGGTTTTTGATTTTGACACTTGTGACACATTTCTTTTCGATCACGCAAAATTAACAGTTGTTTGATTTGGTACTTTTCTACAGCATATTGTATTGATTATTCCTTTAAGAGATGAGTTCAATAAATGAGACAAGATTTCGCATTTTATCTCCAATTCCAGAGGATTGAAAGCTTGTCTCCTTATTGATCTCAGCTTGTCTGGTTTGTTGATCAAAAATCATTCACAATTCTGCCATGTTCTACATGTATCTTTACATGTATTGGTAAACTTCTGTAGATTTTATTAATGAAATGTGTTCTTATTTTGCTCTTCCATTTAGATTTATATAAATTGATTATAATTGGCTACCATAGGTATATTTTGTTTATTGGCTTAAACAACTATTTATTATGACAAATGTAATCAACATTTATAACAATTTATTTGTACTATTTTATATTTTTATTATGCATGTACATGTATGTGAGTAAATTGTTCTTGACAGATCACCAGGTATGGCTGCCAATCCAGACAGTAGATCATCATCGGAGGTCTGTGATATATCTTGAACAGTTAAATTAGGACGGTTTTTAAAACTGATCATTAGTAAATAGATGTATTTCTGATGAATGTGGTTATGTATACAAATGGGAATTACATGTTTGTGGTAATTTATTAACATCATGGTTCATAGAATTGATATATCATGTAGAAGTATAACAGTGTAGCATTTAACCTGGTAGAATTTGAAAATTATTATTTTGTTATTTTGCCTTTTTTATTATGTTCCTCATCAGTATTATGAAATATATCATATTATATCAAAGTTGTATGCCAGTATGTTATAGATGATATTTTAGATGAAGGAAGTTAATGTTTTATATTATCTGTAGCCACATACATTGGTAGTAGCCACAACTGATTATACCACAGCCCACAGTTTGGTCAGGGCACAGTGGCGGATACTACCCATGAAATCTACAGTTAATGCAAAATATAGCTGCATACACCATTGTAAAAGGACGACAAATGATGTTAAGCAGTCCTCTAAAATGTTGTCACTCAAAAATGTTTATATCAAGTTATATGGCTTGTCTACGCAATTTTTTGCTGAAATATGATTTCTATTAATGCATTATATATTGTATTTGTTCTTAATTTGGCATCCACTTTAATTTGACAGATTTGAAACAGATTCGAAAATTAATCAAATTTAATCTTCATCAGATCTACCATTGTTTACCTTCATGTCTTCTATACATTAGATTCTAATGAGATAAAACGAGACAAAATAGCTGATAAAATACAAAATCAAAATTAGATACGTTTTTTCAATAGTTAAGCATTTATAAATCTAACCAATATTTACAAAATGTTATATTTATATGTGATATACATGTACTTGTTTTGTATTCATTTATTATAAATCTCATGAATAAAGATTGTATATACGATATCAAATTAACTTATAACATGTCATGTTTTTTATTTATCTTATTTTAAATTAGCATTATGTGAGAGGAAAGTTAAACTTTGGGATCTTTTGTTGCAGCTTTACCTCGTAGTGTAATAATCAAAATTTGTTTACCTAATAATGTAATCATTTATTGATGACCTTGCAATTTAGGGTGTCACACACATCTGCACATCCATTACACAGGTCGGTAGCCAGGATTTTCCAAGGGGCGTTCACTTTTTGGAAAATTCCAGGGGGGTTCACTTTTCACTTATGACAATTTTGGTCCAAAAATAGCCTAAATCACTTAAAAAGTGCTCAGAATGGTGAAAAAACTGTATGATTTTGAAAGAATTTTTGGCCAGGGGGAGGGGGTTCGCTTGAACCCACTGAACACCCCTGGCTACGGCCCTGTTACAGTACTGTAAGTAAGAGCTATTTTGTCTTGCCAGCGTTAGTTGAGAAAATATGTTGTATTGAAAAAAATCCAACTCTAATGGCAGTGCCAGTCTTCAACATATCACTGCAATGGGAAAAGTATTTGTTAATGTTATATCTCAACAGACAGACTCCACAGTTGATTTTATCTGATTAAAAAGAGGTTTTATATGAAGGTTTCTTGAGAAGATGTTATCAGTTGGTGTTTAAGATTGTTATCATGCGAATAATCAATTAAATCAACAAGGTCCACGATGATAGCCTTTCGATATTCTGAATAATTTCCCTGTTAAGTAGACACATTAACCATTATTTAGGTCAAAAGTTGGATTGGCTTTGTTAGTTTCAAACTAAGAACTTACAGATGGATGCAACTTGAAAATATCTCTCATGAACTACATTTGGTGAGTTAATAAAACCTATAAAATTTTCAATAAGATAACCATAAAATCAACTGGTGACTCTTTATTGGCATATAAGAAATACTAGTCTTACCCTCTATATCAATGGTTATGGTCATCAAATAGTTCTGTTACATTATCTATTCCGTTTTCATTTATTCTGACACAATGTTGATTTATGTATGAATTTTTTCTCAGAATTGATGCATCATAGATCAATAAACCATTGAAGTCTCGCCTAATATATTTACTTTTAGATTCAGTAGTTATTGAAATCACAGGTTGAAATCCTGTGATAAGGACTGATGTGAAAATGTCAGTTCAACCTTATTTTGAGTTAATATAATTAATACCATTCAAGTCCACAATACCATAAGCATACCTAATAAATATAGCAGCCTCTGGATTCTTATGATTCTTATTTAAATAAAAGAGATATTGTTTGATGTATTAATATTTATTCCTCATTAATTAGTACTGCAAAGGATAACAAAGTTTGCCAATATGCACTGGCTAACAAAGCCTGAAACTAATAGTGCAATAACATTTTGGCAATAAAATTGTTTACTGTGGCTAGAAAGGTATTTTATAAAGAAGCCAAAGGAGTATATGCTCTGAGAAGTATGTAGTGTTCACTAGTTACACCATTCAGTTTAACGTCCTGTCAAAGGGCCAAATTTTGGTCTTAAGTCAATTCCATCTTTTGTGAATGAGCTTCTATGGAATTGCATATCTTAGCAAAATTCAGGTAACAATATTGGAAAAATAAGATTCAGTCTTCCATAAAAGTGATCATATCATGATGTTATGTAAATGGCAACCCCTATGAAAGATTCCTCTGTCAAGTGATCAGATTGGAAGGAGTAGCAAATTCATCAATTGACAGTTTTGTGAATCCTGCGGAAGATCCTCCAATTATGTGGGCGGACGTAATATATATAAAGGAGTAGCAAATTCATCAATTTGTGCAAATCCTATTGAAGATCCTCCTGTAAAGTGGACGGGGTTAAAGGAGTAGCAGGCTGATTGATTGACAGTCTTGTGAATCCTATTGAAGATCCTCCTGTTAAGTGGGCGGGGTTAAAGGAGTAACAGCCTCATTGATTGACAGTCTTGTGAATCCTATTGAAGATCCTCCTGTTAAGTGGGCGGGGTTAAAGGAGTAGCTGGATCATTGATTGACAGTTGTGCAAATCCTATGGATTTTAAAGGAGTAGCAGGCTCATTGAATGACAGTTTTGTGAATCCTATGGAAGATCGTCCTGTTAAATGGGCAGGGTTAAAGGAGTAGCAAACTCATTGATCGACAGTTGTGCAAATTCTATGGAAGATCCTCCTATTGATGAGGTAAAATGAGTAGCAGGCTCATTGATTGACAGTTGTGCGAATCCTATGGAAGATCCTCCTGTTAAGTGGGTGGGGTTAAAGGAGTAGCAGGCTCATTGATTGAAAGTTGTGCAAATCCTATCAGGGCTTTGTCATCTGGAATTTCATTACTACAGCCAGCGTTCTGAAAGTAAAGAAACAACAAATTATAGTCAACACAGCATATACTAGCATAGTAATAATAGAGCAGTAAATGAAATAGAGTGAAAAATGAACATCAGAAATGAACAAACACTCACACCATACAAGGAATTTACAAGACAAAATGTAAATCCTATGTTGGATTCAGTATTGCGTCCCTTAATTTGTTGCCATGGTAGGAAAATTGTCCATGATCTATAATAATATTTTTCAGGAACTCTGGAGTATGATGTCACTCACATGCAACTTAATAAGTCTGTTTTCATTGTTGAGAAATGTGGCACAACATGTGAAATCTAGTGAGACAGACCTTTGGTAAACAGAAAAGTATTGGCCAGATTTTTTAAATCATACAGGCTAGTTAATCCTAATTCTACCCTAAAACCGAAAGAATGACATCATGATAAGATATAACTGGTCTATTCTCCAGACTGCAGAGTTAACATGTATGGTTTATAACGGAGACTAAATCATTGTTACTTACCAGTCCAAAACTGATGGTTTTAATTCTTGTGTCGTCAATAATCTTTTGTAAGTTAGCAGCAACTGGAAAAAAATTGGAAACATAATGCTTGATATGGGTCTGGAAAATATAAAATATCTTAATTTATTTAGTATTGCTTAAAGTCCTCTTCGTATTCTCATTCATGTTCATTCTCACTCACCAACTATAGTATCTTTCCCATCAACAAGTCCAGCCTCCACAAGTTCCCGAGAGACACTATCTGCACTATCAGAACCTTGGGTGAAGTCAAACTTGATGTCATTCAGCTCTCGCTTCTCATTCCTAAAAGCGTCCAGAAGAAAGCATCATATAACATATTTCACACCTTGTCCGAGTTATTGGACATGTTAGTACACATTCTCAGCTTTCCAATGGTAATGGTACTTTTTTATATAAAGACTTTCTGGATCTGATATACGTATTCCTCTTTTAGTAATATATGAGTACTGGTATTCTATTCTATATAAAGTGAACATTACACAATGCATAAGTTACAAAAATCAGCCATCTTAAATCTTCACCAGTCTCACACCTTAGAAATACTTCAACTTCAGCTGAGACTATATTCATTTTATGAAATAGGGGCAATATTGTACAATGTTTTCTTGAACCTGTATGGTAACCATAAACAAGTACCTGAGTCTGAGGACAAGGTTCAATTCACAACCATCAGCCAGAGGTTGAGCTCCATCTGCACCCTGAAGTATAGTACAGGTTGTCTTAATATGGAACAGTGCATGCTGCCTCAATATAAAATGTATGTCAAGTGTGTCTCAGCCAATCAACTTTGAGAATTTGAATGCATTAATTCAAGGTATATGGTTAACTGAAGAGAAACATTATTCTGCAGTGCACTATGGTTTCATAATGAATTGAGCAATGCCATTATTGCTGCAAGAGTCACGTCATCACAGTGTATTATGATTTCATAAAGAACTGGACAATGTCATTTTTTTATAAAGATGTGGTGGTATATTTAAATTGCAATAAAGAACCCTGTATCATTCTTTATTGGATTTAAAAGTCCATGAATGCACTATCCCATTCTGATAATGTACTTGGGCTCTGCCCTTGTTCATCACATGTATGGGTTAATGGATGCAGTCATATTTTTAAATTCCGAATACAGAATGAAACAAGATTCTTTATTCCTTCAATTAAGTACAGGTTGTTGTAGTACAAAACAGTCAATGCTGTCTCAATATCATACAAGGAAGCAGGTCACATAGGAAAATATGAAAAATAGAGATTATTTGTCACAATATGATATGATGGAAAATTCAGTGTTATCAATAATGAAGACAATATAATTTATTGCCCAGTTTCAAAAGCATAACTAGATAACGGCAACTCCGCGGAGTAGCAAATCCCAACGAACAAAATATCAATTACCGAATTCCAATCAATTATACTCATTACTTTGGTTGAAAATGAAAAAATTAGATTTTAGAATTGCAAATTCCTGCAAAGCAGCCATTTTGAATTTTCTGAGGTACAAATCTGAAAAATAATACCATAATTGTGATCTACTCCAAAATTCCTTCAATTTGAGTATAATATAGCCATACTTTGAAGGGATCGAAAAAATTATTGCGAAATCATACATTAGACGGCCATTTTGAATTTTACGAGGCTCGAATCAGAAAAATGATACAATATTTGCAATCTACTCTTAATTGCCTTTCATTTGAGTATAATAAAGCTATACTTCAAAAAGATCTAAAAATTAGCGAAAATTTCTGTTTTCCTGTCCCCCCATACATGGCCCCTGGAGGTCAGGATGAAAAACATGGAATATATGTGAAATAGATAAATGTTGTGAATACACTACCAAAATTTCAAACAATAATATTAATTACTTTGGTTTAGAATGAAAAATTTATGATTTTTGCGAAAAAGTCCCGTCATTTTTAAAGCGGCGGCCATCTTGAAAAAACTTTTTTTTGCGTAAAACTATTTACCAATATACATCTTTCCACCAAATATGAAGAAAATCTGCTAACTAGTATTTGAGTTATCTTCCGGACAGACGGACTGACGGACAGACGGACGGACGGAGGGCTTCACTATATCCCTAACGAACTTCGTTCGTTGGGATAACAACTGATATTTTGACATAGGCTCTTAAATAGCGCATTCTATATTACTCTACCTTGATCTGAATTGGCTGAGAGGGTTGTGCCGGGAGTGGGGGGTCAGGCTTTGCTACAGGAGCATCTACTGCTGTGGGTTCTAAACTTTTGCCAGCCTGAAACACAACAAGTTGAATACCATATACCCAATCATCAGGCTGGGAGAACAGATCCAAATAACATTTTCAACATTTGTCAGTGATAAACAAATCAATTTGCCAACACTCAATCATTGCACTACAACTATATCCTTATTTGTCATTGCAATTTTATCTGGTAATTTAGAGTGAAAACTTTATAATGTATATCTAGTTGAGTGAAACAAACCTCCTGTGTTTCTTTTGCAGCTGTGAACTCTTTGCTCAGTTTGTGCAGGTCCTTCACACGAGGGGACTGAAAGTATGCATTCAAATAAACAAATGGGGTATTGGAAAACATCATTAAAACATACAGTAAGGATTTCATACTTATTTATGGGTTCCAAAATGCTCCTTTGGAACAATGATAATTTGATAGTTCGAAACTTTTTTTAAAAGAAGAACTGAGTGTGTTTAATATTTTGTAAGCAAGACACCAGAAGAGCTAAAATGTTTGAAAGAAACATTTTAACAGCAAAATACAATTTGCTTCTGGAGAGACTGTAAAATAAAACATGATTAATTCAGGGTAACTCTATCTGACTCATAAATCTTAAATCTGTTCTGTAAATTAAAGTACTTGGTACTGTACTTTACATCTTTGAATCTAATCCTAAGAATCCATATTTTCTTTCAAATTTCCAGAAAACTCATGCTTTTTCTTCTGATTTTTTTAATAAAAATTACCCCAATTTTTTGCTGCACAGGAATGCATTACTGTATATCCATAGTATCAAGCTAACAAAATATGAAGTTATTTAGACATTTTGCCCTTTAGATATTGTACTCCAAAATATTACTCTTTGGTTCAATGCCCAATATTTGCCCCAGTCACTCTATGAACAGTTCTTGAAAAATTCATGCAAAAGATGGACAATATGACATATGACATTGGCTACCGACTTATATATATTTGACTCAGAATATTGCAACAAAACAAAAATAGCACTAAAGTAGCACTAACAATTTTTTCATATATGCAATCATAGACTCACAATGCAAAATAATGCACACCTCTATTTGTTTTAATTATTTTTAATAAAAGATCATTATGAATTTTGTGTTACATTTTTAGAAAATTTTGCTGTGAATTAGCGCTAACTTTGCACCAAATAAAGACAGCCTAAATTACTGAATAACATAAAATATTGACCACAAAGGGATGGCTGAAGAATCATTAATACCAAAATCATACAATATCACAGTACAAAATCATGCAATCTGCAATATGGATCCAAACAATTAACATGTCACACCGATCTATTATGCTAACATGTAAAAATGCATTAATAAATCAAAAGCAATGAAACATCTTATGAAGTGCATAACTATGCAGTACGTATCGTTAAAGTGCATGTTAGTCTAGCTTCAAGACACCCCTCCTTTAACAACCTATCAATGAAGTAGATAAAGGAGAGGGGGGGCTCCAGGGTCTTGAAGCAAGACTTCAGCATGATGAACTCTCAACTTAAAATCATGAATGTTTGAATGCATTTCCATTTACAGTTCTTCAATCATATTTTAAGTGGACATTTTATTGTGGCATACTTAACAACAAACAGATACATGTTAAACACAAACATATGCTGCAAGAAAACATTACATGATCATGATGTGATCAGCCAGACACAACTCAGCCAAATGCTATAAGGTTATTAGTGATGACATCTTCAATGCAATAACAGAAGACTTTTTTATAGAAATACTTCTAACATGTTATCATGAGTTTGAAAAACAAGGGTGTTGATGGGATTTCTCTGTTTAAAAACATGGAAATTAAGCAAACAAATTATCATATTTTAGAATTCTATGGCATGTTTATTTAGGTGTGTCAAATTGTTGTCATCTAATTCCAAATGTAAGACATATTATTAAATAGACACATTGGGTAGGTTGGTTTTTGACAATCACTGCAATAAAATTAATTTACATGAATTTTTGCATCAAGTCCTGTATCTCCAGCCATTTAACTCAGTAAGAGAGAGAGATTGAGAGAGGTGATACTGGGGCTTGTTGCAAGACTACACATTATCGTATGTTGAGGTAAAATTGTAAAAAATTCAGCAGGAAGTATATGAAGTTATGGTAAAACTTTAGTACACATTTAGAGACTTTAGATTCTTATGCTCTCTGTACTATGATACTGTACTATGTATGCTTTAAAATTCTTGTCAAACATGGCCATTTATTCATCTCCTATGTTTGTTCTTCAATAAATTTGTAAAAGTAAAAGTATAAAAAAGTCGAACTGTTAGGACTGAAAGAGCTAAATGCAAACTACACATTCACTACACTATTCACTTACTAAAAAAAAGATTGGACTAGAAAACTGGAATAAAGAATAAACTACTACAGGCTACAGACTGGAATACAATAAAGAAAAAAAATATGGAAAATACTAATAAGGAAAAACATAAAGATGACCACCCATCAATAAGACTGGGGGTTTAAAATGTTGTATACCTCCTTAAATTAGACCATGGAATAAGAAACAAATACCAGCTAGCTAGCAAGCACAAAATAATATTTATCTAAATTGTAGGAATACACTTTACTTCTAAAATATACAAAAGTACTATAAATCAAAGAAAAGATTTCTAAAATCTATAGTGCTAAAATTCTAGAGTAAAAAGAATAAAATACATCAGGCCAACATGAGACAAAAGATCTCCAGAATGATCTAACTAGGTATGAAGTTATTTGGATTTCATAGATATATGCTCCATAAACTCACCCTTTCTCCCAGAGCTGCAATCCTGCCCTCCTCAGATAGGGGGTCCATCTCATCATCTGACCACTCCCAGCCACCATCTGCTGTCTGATGTAGCCTTCCACTAGAACCTGGGATACGCTTTACCTACAACAAGCAGATAATTGAGCAATCTTGTTCCCTCTTCAAAAGAGGAGACACGAAAATTGTTCCCTATACGGTCAAAATATTTCTCATGATGCAGTTCGCGGAGGAACAAATTTATACTTCCTTGTTTTCCCCCATAAGTTTAACATAAGGATTTTCACACCTATTTTCAAACGATATATTCGTTCATATTCTCGTACAATAGCACAGAAAAAATTATCTGAAACGATTGATCTCTTATTAATCTTAATAAAACAGATATTTTTTTCATTATATTTGTTCATAGCGTGGTGAAAACTATGACTGAAAAGTGAGAAAATATTTCGGTAGAGAAGGTCACGTGATCAGTTTACTAGTTGCCATATTGGAAAAAAAACAATTCCATTCAACTTTCAACACTTTCATGCCAATCTTACCGCACTACAAACTGCAACATCGATGCAACAACTGAATAAAAGTACTCATCTTTAAATTACATTATAGAGTTATGTTGAAAACCTACAAATAACTGAGCAGTAGACCAAAGAAGACGTGTCACTATTATCTAGGTCAATCTGTTCAGTGGTTGGAAAGCAAATCTATAGTACTCGTTTCCAATTTTGTTGTTCATTGTACAATCTTTTTTTTATTAAACTCGGTATACTGACTTTTAAAATAATGACAAAGAAGAGTACTTCGGATAGTGTCATTGTTTTATTTAGTGTGCGGGTGTAAAAACAAATTTGCGTAATTAGTTTGATTAAGAACTTTCAGGTCACGCAAACTGCGGCACTGTTGAGCTTTTGTATAATTGCATTACTGAATATCTATATTTAATTCACATTAGTGAAATGAAAATATTGTGAGAAGTGGTTTAAAATGGCTCAAAAAATATTTTAAAATTAGATAGATGGTGTTACTAGTTTAATGTCATGTGATCAGATGTTTGCATATCAATAGTTGAGTACTCACCCTTGGTATACGCAGCTAACGAAAATTGACCGGCACGGGTCAAAAGCTGGACCGGCACGGGTTAACGGTTTTATTTGAATTTAAAATAGCCATAACTTGCTCAATAATGACTTCCTCGTGTCTAATTTGAAAAATATGGTGCCTCCCGATGCTTTTAAGTACCCCAATTTTTTACAGATTTTTAAACGGACCAAAACTCTCTAAATGCGCATTTATGCTCTTTTCTCTCGAGAACGGCTGTCTCATTTTCACGATAACTTTTATTTAGTACTTCTAACATATAAGATCTATTTTTCCCCATCAAGGTATGATGTAAATGACATGCTATTTACATCTTGTGAGTTTCAATGACGCGCGTTTGATTTTATAAAAAATGCCAAACTTTGTGACAAAGAATTTCATCCTGCTTGCAGTGAGAAGACGGACCGGTTCGGGGCAATCTGCTTGCAGAGAGAAGACGGACCGGTTCGGGGCAATAGCTGATGAAATTCTTTGTCACAAAGTTTGGCATTTTTATAAAATCAAACGCGCGTCATTGAAACTCACAATATGTAAATAGCATGTCATTTACATCATACCTTGATGGGGAAAAATAGATCTTATATGTTAGAAGTACTAAATAAAAGTTATCGTGAAAATGAGACAGTCGTTCTCGAGAGAAAATAGCATAAATGCGCATTTAGAGAGTTTTGGTCCGTTTAAAAATCTGTAAAAAATTGGGGTACTTAAAAGCATCGGGAGGCATCATATATTTCAAATTAGACACGAGGAAGTCAATATTGAGCAAGTTATGGCTGTTTTAAATTCAAATAAAACCGTTAACCCGTGCCGGTCCAGCTTTTGACCCGTGCCGGTCAATTTTCGTTAGCTGCGTATACCAAGGGTGGTACTTGCGAATTCAATTCAAGAACTTCTCAGAAGTAACATATTAGCTATCAACACATAAATTAATAGAGTAATTGTTTTGCTTGTATAGAGAGACCCAACAGCTATAACTTACTACATTATTATAGAAACAGCTGAAAAGAACTTCAAAACTGGTAAATATGTTTTTCTCGCTTTGGGACAGACATGGGGTACAGCCTGGTATTGAGTAATATAACACTAACACGTAATCTAGTAATTTTTTTGAAATGATACCCTGAAAAGATATGAGATCTATTAAAAAAGGCGCATCATCACCAACGTGCAAAAGTCAATGTTTTTGCTATAAATCGAGCAACAATGGTCTACACGACCTGTAATAGATAGGTATACGGGACATTATTATCACAATACTAATGACATTGCTCACTTTTTAAAGTTAGTTTCCATGCGTTATACAAAAAATAATCGAAATAAATTAATATTGGATGGAGGGGGGGAGTGGATGGAGGGGGGGATCTATATGTCTTTGCGATGGAACAAATTCACAAGAACTCGTGTATTTGAAAAAACTAAACTCAGTACTCCAGTAATAAACTGGATATTATATCTCTGGAGATTGAAAAATGGGAAAATTTGGAGTCATAAGAATAAATTCAAGTAGCATGTCTTATCATGTCTTACATACACGTGATCCCCCCCTCCATCCAATCCCCCCCTCCATCCAATATTAATTTATTTCGATTATTTTTTGTATAACGCATGAAAACTAACTTTAAAAAGTGAGCAATGTCATTAGTATTGTGATAATAAAGTCCCTTATACCTATTTATTACATGTCGTGTAGACCACTGTTGCCCGATTTATAGCAAAATCATTGACTTTTGCACGTTGGTGATGATGCGCCTTTTTTAATAGATCTCATATCTTAGAAGGGTATCAGTTCAAAAAAAATACTAGATGACCTAACATATTTTTCCATGCACTGCGCCTATTCATTTTGCAATTCAGTTGTAAATTTTCTCTTGAAAAATAAATCTTCCAAATTTGTTGAGTTTTCTTGCAGAAATCGCCTAATCCCCCCCTCCATCCATTTTGTACGATCACCGGGCGTGACTAAGTACATGTAAGTAATCCTGGGTATGCAATCTACATGCTAATGTACTGTACAATTCATAGGCTTTTCCAAACGTTTCAAATAAAAATATGCTTTTAGCTTCTTCTATTCATATCCTTGAAAAGTAATCATAAACAATTTGCCGTCATAATCATAAATGGCTTTCATGTCTATTCTTGAAAAAGGAGTTATCTTAAGTTGGTTTTTTTGTTAGGGCTTATGACTCATATCTAAAGAGTTATTTTTATTGACATAGAACTAACTGAAGCACAAGTCATATGACTGAAATACAGGTACATGTACTAGAGATAAACTACCTTAGATATAATATGACAAGTTTTTATGTTTACAGGTTTAACCATGGCCACCTCAAGTGATATTGATGAAGAGAGTTATAAGGAGGTTATATGGATCAAAAAGACTGATAAACCTAAATGCCCCTGCCCAGTTTGTAATGAACTGTTTGAGGTGCCACAACATGGAGCAAAAGGGCTGAAAGGGAATTATATTCTCAATGGTATGTTGGAGATCCTGCAGAGAAAACTAAGGAAAGAATCCCCATTGGTGGAGACAATCAATTGTGATATCTGTATTAAAGAGGATGAGACATTGAAAGCAGAGTTTAGGTGTATTGACTGTGCCCAGAATATATGTAAACATTGCAAGCGAGCTCATAACAGTATAAAAGCAGTGAAATCCCATAAAGTGATCCCAATTACTGGAGATGAAAACGTTGACTCAAAAATGATTCTAGACTCCATGTCTCAAAGATCAAAATTCTGTCCAGATCACCCTGAAGAACAGCTGAAATTCTACTGCAAAAGCTGTATGGTTGTCCTCTGTATGCATTGCTGTGTCACAACACACAGTGGCCATAAGTGTGAGGAGTTGGCCAAAACTGCAAAATCTGATATTAACCAAATTGAAACTCTCATCAAACTGTACATAGAGCAAGAAAATGAATTTGATATGGCAATTAAGCAGCAATCACAGCATAGAAAAGATGAGCTGACAAAAGCTGAAATTGTAAAAACACAAATTGAAGCATCAAGAAAAGCCCATATTGACAATGTGAATAGACATTATGAAGACCAGACTCTTAAGATACAGACACACATAAAAGTTCTTAATAGTGATATTGATAAACTTGAACTTGAAAAGGGAATCATGATGAGCACACGTAATGCCCTGAATGCCCAAAAACAATATGGACACCCTGCTGACATCATTCAAATGCGCAAAGATGTGGCAAAGAAAATACAAGATCTGACAAAATTGCTGAAACAATCCAAATCAGAAGAACTTAATGAACATCAAACAATAATGACATTTGCTGAAGGAAAAATATGTAAAGAAAGCAGTACTTATGGAATTGTAAAGATTCTTCCTAATATGAGATCTGAATTGTTGTTTGATACAGATGAAGTCTATAACTTAAATGATGTTGCAATATCAAAAAATGGATGGATCGTAATAGCAGAAGGAAAGAATCTTCACTTTCACAACTCTAAAACACTTCAAAGAGAATATTTAGGAAGGGATATTAACTGTAGTAGAATGTGTTTCTCAGAAAATGGCATATTTGGAATCACAAAGGACACCAATAAAATATTTCTTATAAACAAAAGTCAAATTACACAAGTCAAGATTCCTGAACTAGCTACCAATAATGATTGCTCCATAGCAAAACGCACACAAGCAAACCACATCATAGTAGCAAACAACAATGGATGTATATCAATAGTTGACTACAAGAAGAAGAGCATTGTATCATCATTCAAGCATGAGCACATAACTGATTGGATTGCTACTAATAGTCAAGATCACATAATCCTATCAGATTGGCATGGTAGCATAGTCTATTGTATTGATGCAAAAGGATATAATATCTTCAAGTATGGACAAAATCATCCTACAAAATACAACCTGTACCACCCTGCTGGTGTTTGTGTGGACAAATATAACAATATTGTGATTGCAAGTTACGGTTCCAACTCTGTACACCTTATCAACTCAAGTGGGCATTTCATCAAAGAAATTGTCAAGGTGAAAAATCCAAAAGTTGTAGCAATAGACAATGAAGGCAAGCTCGTTTTGCTTACAGGTGAAGGCAAGATACACATCATTGAGTATCAATAATACAAACATGTGGCAGTTCTCATTCTGTAGTGTGAAACAGAAACATTTGCAATAAATACTAGGACTACCTGGTTGTGTCAAAACATTGATATCAGTCCAAAACATAATCAAGTGGCTCACAATGAAAGGACAAAAACTGTTTCACTGTAAGGGCTATTCAATCTTGATGACTTGATGTGGTTGTTTTGAAGGGAGAGTGATGAAGTCAAGATTTTATTACCACCAAGTTTTTTTGACAGACTTAATGCTTTGACCCAAACCTTGAAACAAGAGCAGAGACCATGAGAGAGATGGAACAATAAAGAATTTTTTAAATATCATTCAATTTTGTGTTGCTTATGGAATTAACTATACAATGCAATATACCCTTGTATCTCCATAAGCTCATAATAGCAAAGTAACACTTTTTATCTATTTTAAACATCTTCCATTTCAGGGGTAGAATGGTCTTATAGGAACTACATTTAAAACCCAGTTTTGCACATTCAAACCTAAATTATTATTGCTGATCGAAATATAGACATACTCAAATGCATAATTACTGTATAACATGAAATATTGCCGTGGATATAAAGTTGCCGATTGCCGAATGTAAAACAGAAACGGCAACATAAAGTTCGGAAATATAATGAAGTAATTGAAGATCGATCTTAGTGGGCGATAATATGGTAGTTGTCTAATGTGTGACAACTTACTGTAATAGGGTAATTTTCTAACGAGTATCAACTTACTATACTTTAACAAAAATCATAAATAAAATACGATAAAACCGAAGCTTTATTCCCCAGCATAAAATTACAATAAAAAGTTAATAATAAAAATGTTGCAGTTAAAATGCATGCAGTAAATTCTATACAATATTAAATGGATTGTCATGTTAAAAAGTTAAAATGTCAATTGTATCCAAGAGCTTTGGAAATCCCAGTATTAAAAGTTTTTAATCCCGATATTAAAAGTTTTTAATCCTGGTATTAATTGTCCTGAGTCATTCGAATACGGGTAATCACTCAAATTGTCACTCATAATGTCAGGATGTCAGGTTTTCTGAGTCAGTCAAATGAAGGTGATTAAAATTCAGTTGTACATCAAAATTATATTAGGGGTGTCAGCTTAGCAATATTTTATTTGGCTTTACATTTAGGGGTGTCAGGTCGGCAAACTTTAATTCGGCAATAACAATTTTAATCCAATTCGGAAAATAAAGCACCCGGATTTAATACATGTTATACAGTATCTAGCTTACAAAATCTATCAACACGTAATATACTGAGGAGCTCACAAGCTATTCAAAGCTATTTTTGCCACTTTTAGAGTCAATGGATTGGAAGATATGCTTAGATTGAAAATGACTAAAAATATTATTATTCAAAATTAAAATTTCTTTATTCTTAAAGGGGTATTCCTTGCCAGACCATCTCTCTCCAAATATGGTAGCTATAACCATATACATACTTTGCAAGTTCATCAAAAAACAGAAAAATGTTTTGAAATGATCAATATTGATCACTAAAAAATGTAGTGCTCAATTCCAGTAGGCTGCCATCTTTTAAAATTTCACTCAGGAAGTGATGTCATCGACTCTCAACTTTGCATATAACATTAGGTAAGGAGCTATTAGAATTACTAAACCAGCTGAATATTTTTTTCAATTTGGTCTATGATTAAAATCATTTTGATGATCTCTTCTTTAGTTCTAAGTTGACAACTCCTGAAAATATTTTTACACAGAAGATAAGGGCTTCTTGTTTAGAAGTGATTTTGTACTTCTTTCCTATACTGCAATAGACAAGGTTATAACAAGTAAGAGTCGATGACATCACTTCCTGAAAGAAATCTGAAAAGATGGCAGCTTACTGGGAATGAATACTACATTTTTAAATGATCAATATTGACCATATGAAAACATTTTCCCATGTTTTGCTAAATATTTAAAGTATATATATGATTGTAGCTACCATATCAGGAGAGAAATAGTGTGGCAAGGAATGTTCCTTTAAGCTATTCGGAAAATTTCTAATGATATTTGGATTCAGAGTATAAAAATGACAAATACAAAAATAAATATATTTGTCTACTCAACAGTATTTCCATATTTGATTGATTTTAATGAGTACATATTAAGAAATGTCTCCTTTCAGTCATTTGTACTTTCTAATATTGGCAACAGTTTTAAAAGGCTGAAAGTTACATAATAAAGTTCCTAGCGAATCATTGTGACTTGAAGACAAACTGCTTGGTTTTATTGCCATATTTTTATGAACATTTTCTATCACCCTAAGCGTTTGCATGATAAATTCATTTACTAGAGTAATGGTGTCTAAAAGTTAAACTTACTTTCTGTGGTTTTATTGGAGTACCCTCATTGAGTAGCATCTTAACAAGGTAGGCTTTGTCCTTGGCCTTCTTAAAGAAGTCATGTTTCTGCAGCAGCTTGGAGTTTGGTCTGGAAAATATGCATTTGAAATATTAACCATTCATTGCCACACTTGAAATGTTTTAACTTCAGCCAATTTCAGGAATACTGAGGAGGGTTAACTTTATGATAATAGAGATATGTCAGGGCACAAAGCGTATACTGTACATGAACTAGTTGAGCAAGTCGCAGTCATTTGAAATATTAACCATTCATTGCCACACTTGAAATGTTTTAACTTCAGCCAATTTCAGGAATACTGAGGAGGGTTAACTTTATGATAATAGAGATATGTCAGGGCACAAAGCGTATACTGTACATGAACTAGTTGAGCAAGTCGCAGAGGCAACTGAACTAGGTACAATTATAGAAAAGCCCGAAGTCCTTAAGAAATAAATGAAAAATAGAATTACCACAAAAATATATCTCAGGTCATATCTTTGCTAGATTCTTAATGTTATATATCATGTTTTTTCTCAGAAAACGTCTGAATAGCAAATTGATGAGAATTACTGACATCAGAGTCAACACGCTTATTCAACATAACTTCATAATCTCAAACTGATATGAAGGTAATTGTGGTACATGTAGTGTTATGACAACAGATAATTTATAATTCAATGATATATAAATATATATACAAATAGGTATAATCATAAATCAAATTCAGATATGATTTCATCTTTTGTTTAAATCTTAACAATTCTCTCACCTTTTGTCAGGCTCTTTGCGAAGACATTCAGATATCATTTTCCTGAATATTTTACTGTAGTTTTTATACTGATCTTTGTCCTCGGACCCAAAGTCAAGAGAAGGAGGGTCATTTTGTAATGTTAACATTAATACCTATAATTGAAAAACATGTTCATTTCACTTAGGGCCTAGAATGCAGTCAAAATTCACTAAATGCTGATGATCTATTAATGGATTATTTATCTTATATCGATGGATTATTTATCTTATATCATGATTAAATCATGAGAACGACTATTGAATTAATCATGAAGCAAAACTTGAGGCTGTTAGGGTTTTATACATGTTTCAACTGCACAATGTTTACATTTTATATCCTATTTGTAAATTTATCCCAGGTTTCATTACGCAACTTACTTTCATAGGAGGGTATTTATGATACGGTGCAGTACCAGTTGCCAGTTCTATGGCTGTGATACCCAAACTCCAGATATCTGCCTTGAAGTCATAGCCAGTCACCTGCAAAATAATTATCTCAGGTGTAAATACAGGTATGACAATAACATAATTATCTCAGGTTGTCACAATCGGTTGTTACATCATCATGTGAGGTATTACATCATAATTTCAGGAATAACAATAATTCTGGGTAAAAAACAGGTCTAACACCATAATTTCAAGTATAACGCAATAATTTCAGGTATAACACAATTATCTCAGGTGTAAAGGAATGATCACATATCAGGTGTAACTGTACATCTACATTGTAGTATTGAAAATATATGAGACTATACTGAGCAGATATCTTATTATGTATTATATTAGTTTAAAATATACAATTCTAAAATTCATGGTATTGTATCATATTTGAAGACAATTGCATCCTTAGAAGTTATATATTGGAAATATTTACCTATTTGACTATTCTGCACATACATATGTTTATATAAACAAATCTGGGTCATTTGAAATAAGTTCAAACATATAGAGAAATGGATTAAAAACAAAAATAGAACAACAGCGTTAATATGCAAAATATCACCACATGCTATTTGCTACAGATGCCAAACACCAACCATCGAGTGTTGAACATTGAACAATATCCACAAAAAAGTTGGAGACTATACAATATGTCACTACTTGTGGTGGTGACATAAAAATGGAATGAATACTGTATATATGTACTGAGTTTATGTAGTACCTGTTCCATGACTTCAGGTGCCATCCAACATGGTGTTCCTACAAATGTGTGTCGACATTGATCCCTGGACAGATCTTTACCAGTTGCCAGCCATGCAGATACTCCAAAATCTGAAAAATGAGGAAGAGAAATTATTTCACCATATAGTAAAACCTGAACATGCCCCGTGTAGACTGTTTTTGTAACAATATTACTCATATTTTGAAGACTGGAACTGCCAAGGGAGCTTGAATAATACCATAATATTTGTAATGACCATCTCCCAACAAAATACTTGGTCCAAAGAGAACCTTATATAAATATTTTTACCAAATTGTTCCACTGCATGCAACAGAGTATCGAGAATAATGTCTGCAAATCCTCCTTGGAGTGACCTTGAACTCCCATGAGCAAATAAGCATGTTTTGACATTTGACCTTTCAGGCAAACTGATAGCACAGGCTTCACTTAAGCAATCAATTTACAGAGAGAGATAGTGGTTGATTAATTTTGAATGAAATACAAAGAAAATATGAACTTAGTCTTAACATTCACGTCAAGGGCTAGAGTTATGTTATCATTGATATATTTTGACATTTCAGCTATAAATGTGCATACCTACTAACAAGAATCTTCATGCCTCACACTAAACCATAAACTAACAAAAGTTTAACCCAAACTTTTTCACTCTTATTTATATGTAATGGTATGATTTAGAAGACTCAATAAAATATATTATACTATCTTGTGATGACTCCTCAATCTTGATTTGTGATGACTTCTTCAAAAGGCCTATATGTCATGTGCTTCTAGGCTTGCTACCTTCATATTTTTAAAGGCTGTCTTGTCAGGGTATTAAGAGTAAATCTACATAGTGTTTCGATATTACTGTCCCCCATTCTTGATAGTTTCCCCTCATGTTATATATCATGTGACTTGTTCAATCAATGTCACAAAGTTGAATTTTAAAGAATGAAAATTTTAACACAATCAATCATTTTTCATTGAACACACACTCATTCATAATTTAATTTCTCTTATTAAAGTAATGGTGGCCCTGAAAAGGGCCGTTTTGTTTGTTTGAGATCTTATCTCATTATAAGATCTGGTTAAAGGCCTGTTGTAGGCTGGCTTCAGCAATAGCAGTGTCATATTCATACTTCTTGGTCTCTGCAAAGACACAGAACATCTGCATAGTCTCTTCATAGCACGCCATCTTCAGGCGTAGACTGTAACAGAAGGCTGATTTCTGGTTTCTCTTGGCTCTTTTGTAACGGGTCTTCAGCATGGAGATCTTGTACCTTATGGCCACCACTTGCTCAGCTGCCTTGATGCATGCTTTACGTAGGGCTGCAATCCTGTCTGGGTCACAGGTATACATGGGGTTGTCAATGGCAAGGCTGTTTGATGATTCCATGTTGATTGATTTGATTTTGGTTGTTAGCTTGTATGTTTCAGTTGTAGATAATGATTCCCTTCCAGTCTGCTTGGTATTTATAAGAAATCGGAGTGACATTTGAGCAAGGGATTTAGACTGTGACATCTCTTCTCAGAGAATGACATGACATTGAGTAGTGTTGTCAAGACATTGAGCAGCTAGTATGACATCATTTTGAGTAGGTGTCAAATGGATATATTTCTATAATGGAAAGATTTCAGTAGATTGCATTGTTTATAAAATCATGGGTGTATAAAACAGGGGATTATTTTGAGCAGTCATGCCAAACAGGAGATTAACCGTAGGAGATTAACAGGGAGATTATGAGGAAGATTATCTGTGAACAAATAAACATAATCAGGAGATTAAAACATAATGTTGAAAAGTAGGTGATTACAAATCCAGGGATAGATTAAAAAAATCTAAAATTATAATCTCAATCATTTACAACCTCTGTATGAGTAACTAAATTCATTCCAATGACATAATATGCCTGCATCATAAAGTTAACTTTGCATCTCTATTTTTAGAACTTAATATTTCTATCATTGTCAAATATGTATTAGACAAAATGCCCTAAGAGAAAGTAACACCCAAGATATGGCCAGTCATAACATACATGTGCAAAACACTCGTGAAATAATTCCTAATTTTTTTTTGCAAAAACTTGGGTTTGTGAAAATTTTGCAGTATTCTTTTAAGACATTTTTGAAATACTGACATTTTACAATACAAAAACTGGAAAGATGTTTGAAAGAAATCACTGATTCAAAGAGGATTTGCCAGATGAAATCATATTTGTGATGGCAGTAAATTGATTGAAATAAACAATTTAAAACATAACCATATGAATCAATGAATCAGTTTCTATTTTGTAAACAAAAGGTGGCCCAGAAAGTATCTTAATTAAAACTGAATAATAAATACTAGATAAAGATTTAATCAGACATAGCTGGTATTCACATTCATCACACACAACCATAAAAATCATGATTCAGTTTCTCTTTTGTAAGTAAGAGGTGGCCCTGAAAAGGGCCGTTTGTTGTTTGAAATGTCTCATTATAAATACCGCATCCAAGCAGCAGCTATCGCACTGTGATATTTACACTTCTTGCACTCGGCATCATCATATAACACTTGCAGTGCCTCCTCATAGTGGCTCAACATCTTGAGACGTAGACCGTACATGTAACAGAATTTCTGCTTCTGGCTCTGCTTCAGTTGCTTGTAGCGGCTCTTGATCATGTGGATCTTGTCACAGAGGTTGATACACTGCTCAGCAGCCTCCATGAAGTCAGTGCGAAGCTGAAGGATCTTGTATTTCTCACAGGATGACATTAGAGGGTAGACAACACTCAGGCCATCTTGCAGATTGTCAAATGCTTTCATTGTTGTGTTCATTGTGTGTTCTTGGGAGGTTATGAATCACAATCCATCTCCCTGTGTATTTATTGGAAATTGGTCACATTTGAGCAAGGGATTTAAACAGTGACATCTCTTCTCAGGGAATGACATGACATTGAGTAGTGCTACAGAGATATGACATCATTTTGAGTAGATGTATTACTGTCATACCAATGGATTATGTCTTGAAATCTTGGATACTTACAACAAAGAGATTATCTCTGATTGTTTTTTATTGCACAACAAACATCTTTATCTTATTACAATCCCAATTGCTCCCACTGTTGGGACGGAACGGATACAACATTTTCCTATTACATAGAATGATTTCTATGATCATAAGATTGCATTACGTGGAAGTTTAAAACATGGGGATCACTCTTACTATCAAGAACTTTATACATTTTAGATGTTTTGAACAGACCAGGCTCTATGTCTATAGAAAATATCAAAAAATGGCTCTGTGACAGCTTTTTTTTAATAATGTACTACTAAAACATAGTTTTACCTGCAATTCTAACTGTTCCATCTTCACCTAGTAATATGTTCCCAGCCTTGATGTCCCTATAACAGAAAACATGCACCAATGAGAATGGCAAGGATGTGCTCTTCTGCCAAAGGTAATGCATCATAGGGTTTTCATACATTTTCATCTAATCTCTTATGTGTAGTGGGTGAATATATTTTTAGTGGAATATTTTTACAGAACTTCTGTAGGTTAATGATGAAGAGTGAAAAATTCAGGGACTAAAATATGACACTTAATATCTACAAATTCAAAAAATAAGATAAAACCAAAAAATCTACAAATTCAGGCCTCCTAGGTTTTGACTCATGCGGTCGTCAGAACCAGTCTCGCTGACCTCTTCTGAGCTTATTTCCCCACTCGCGCATTGACTTCGTACATTGCTAACCACACACCTGATTGGTTCTTTGGAAGGGAACTTGATGCACGTGTGGAGAAATAAGTTTGGGGGACAGGAACTGGTGGTTCGCGACTGAAGAAATGATACTCCCATTATGAGAATGTTGTTCGGGTGGAAGGAATGCGGTCAGCGAGGTCGAGGGAATCTCAACTAGGATGCCTGAAATTGCTGATACTAACAATGTTCTCCTTATATGTAGGTTAATGTTACCTGTGTATTTGTCCGTTGGCATGGAAATAATCTAGCGCCTTAAGTACTTCTTTTAAAATAGTTGCTATAGTTACTTCATCTAAAACGCCATTTTTATAATTGCCACTTCTAACTCTCTGTTTTATTATATCGAGTAGAGAGCCTGGAAAAAAACATCAATTAATATTTAAATCAATTTTTGTTTTAGTGTCAAAATATTACTAAATATTTTTCATTATGCTAACAATAGCCATATATAACATCTAAATCTTGTGCATGTAACAGTAAACCAGTCAACTGCACATTCTTTTCTTCATCCCATTACTTTTGTTTGAATATAATTGAATAAGCTTGAATGTACATTATACATTACACATACCAGTTACTGTATATGATTATCAAACATGGCATCAACATTTTAATCATGTATGAACATGATCTTAACCTTTAGAGGACAACCAAAAATATAACCACCTACTATTCAACATGAACACTGATCCATAGACGAGTATCTAGTCATTTTTACCATTTACATGAACCAGTTTACAAGTTCCATAATTCTTTATCAAAACAACCATACCATTTAACTATGGATTTGAAAAATAAATCAAAAATCATTCCGACATAAGACCTACCTCCACTTACTAATTGCAGGACAATCCACAGTTCATCAACATCCATGAAAGACGTGTGATATTGGACAACATTCTCATGTTTACACTGGCTCATCACAGTGATTTCTTTCTAGAAATTTAGCCTCTTCAATTTACAGTACATCTCAAAACCTTTGATCCTTACTAGGTCATTTAAGATCAATTTTGAGATGGGCTGTAGATTAAAGTAATATGTTAAGACATTTCCCCAGAGCTTGGTATGAGTAGTTTAAGCATGATTTTTATCTAAATGCCTTAGAGTTCTAAATATTAAGAAAAAGTGAACCTTATGCTAAAGGAACCCATTTTGCTGATCTTCCCAAATTGCCGTAAACAAGGTAATGGAAGGTAATATTTCTTGAATAACATTCAAAATAACAGGTGCAAAGCAATGCCATTTTTGTATGTATGTCTGCATTACAGACCCTTCTACTCCACCATTTGTTGGGTGTAAGTAAGTCAGACAAACTTGCATATGCATGGGGGAATATTACATACAAGGACTTATGGCTTACAGTATCTAGACGTGTCTAGAAATAATACCAATTAGACCCTTTAGGGAAACATGTCCAAACATAGATAACCGAGAATGTAATCCTCTTTCCAATTTAAAGGCCACCATTTTCAAAATGGTTGCTCGCTAGACAAGTTGTCACCAGCAGAAGTAATATGCTTTTAAGTAGCCACATATAAAATTGAAAAAAATCGCCCACACATACATGTAAATGCTGGCCATTTTCTAAAATGGCCACCTAATACCCAAAATGTCATAAGACAGTGTGCAATCCTTACCAGTATTCACATATCAAATATGAACAAAATCGCTCTATTACTTTTTGAATTATAATAAAAAATGTAAAATAACACACATAAAAATAGTGGCCATTTTTCAAAATGGCCGACTACTCCCCAAAGTTTTATTTGACAATGTGCCATGCTTAAGTATTCACATATCAAATATGAACAAAATCGCTCCAATACTTTTTGAGTTATAGTAAAAAATGTAAAAATGACAGCCATTTTTAAAATGGCCACCTACTACGCGAAGTGTCATGAGAGAGTGTGCAAGGCTCATAAGTATTCACATATCAAATATGAACAAAATCGCTCTACTACTTTTCAAGTTATAGTAAAAAACGTAAAAAATGGTGGCCATTTTTCAAAATGGCCGCCTACTACCCAAAGTGTCATTAGACAGTGTGTATAGTATTCACATATAAAATATGAACAAAATCGCTCTACTACTTTTTGAGTTAAAGTAAAAAATGTAAAATAACGCACGTAAAAATGGCGGCCGTTTTTCAATATGGCGGCCTACTACCCAAAATTTCATTAGACATTGGGCCATACTTAAAGTATTCACATACCAAATATGACCAAAATCGCTCCACTACTTTTCAAGTTACAGCAATAATCGTAAAAAGACATGCAAAGCTAGGCAGCCATTTTTCAAGATGGCTGCCAGGTATTTCTTCTGTATTTACATTTCTAGATTAATCAATGTCCTATATAACTTTTTTTACATTTAAAACATATTGCTATTACAGTTTTATATGCAGTACCTAAATTACAGTAAAATCGGCACTAAAATGGCCGCCTTTTTTAAATGAGTGGCCATTTTGAAAATCGGTTTTCGAGCAGAACTTCTACCCCCATTGCCATTAGGTATATGTGTACAAAATATGAACAAAATCGGGCTTAGGGTATTTGAGTTATTGCCAGGACAGACAGACGGATGGATGGACGAACGTACGTACGGACGGACAGACAGACGGACGGACAGATGGACGGAGGCGTTCCCTATATCCCTCCGAACTTTGTTCGATGGGATAATAATTAACCTACCTTATAACTGAGCTCATCTTCTAGAGGAATGTCTACTCTATGACTTATATAGAAGATAACCTATGATCTTTGAGGGATGCGGTATATATCATTCAGGGGTATACATTTGAAAAAAGATATCTACAGTAGACTGGCTTTGGTAGGATTATTTCATTTTTGAGGCTAATATTCTAATCTAATATTATAAGGAATACCACAATACTAGATTTAATATACCTTCTATTAAGAGAAAGATTCAAATGGTTTGCTAACCAAGGGTGGACCATTGGATCTTGGGGAATCCTGACATTTTTACACACAACCAGTTGATTCAAAATGAGGAAAGAATTGGACCCATTCTATGTTTTATGCATAATGAAAGCTAAAATACTTTTTCTCACTTAGCAATGATTTAGAATATAAGAAGAATCAAACACAGGACTTTATGTGAAATAACTTGTTCAGTCCGAAAAATATATCTTTTTCTAAAACTGTTTGGTTATGCCTCTCCCAAGATTCAATGGCGCCCCACTTAGGGGAAAGGATCTTGCCTACCTCCACTACATAATTGCATAATAACCCAGAGCTCATCCTTAGCCACAAATGAAGTGTGGTAAAATACAACATTTTCGTGGTTACATTGACTCATAGCCTGGATTTCTTTCTGCAAATAAATTATTTATTTAATTAAACTTATCTAGAGTGAATAAATAAATGCATGTTCCCTAGGTGGTCTTCTATCGATTAAATACAGCATTGTGTCTCAACAACAATTTAGATCTGAATATACTCATGTTAATCAAAGAAATGTAATTTTAATGACTTTAGAAATTTATAAAATTTCACATGAGTTTTTTTTATTAATCTTCACACTTCACAGTACATTTACTCAAAAATAAGCAATTGACATACCAAATACAGTGTAACTGCCAACATTGACAACATTTTGAACGTTTTTAACATCTTATCCATGGAACAAAGTTCTATTCACCAATATTTAAACATAATGATTGTTGACAAACACAAGGTGTATGTACGATAGAAGACACTTACATACAAGGAAGGTAATATATTGGGCGAAGGGCGGGTATGGTTATGCACATTCTTGATAAATGAAAGGTATTTTAAATAATACAATTATCTATTCTATTGTATTTATTTTGCAAAAATACTTTTTATTTGGTATAACAACATAGTCATGTTGAATAAATGGTAGCGAATAAATACTATAATTAGATACAATAAACCAGGCCTGTAGCCAGGATTTGCCAAGGGGGGGGGGGTCAGTTTTCAAAAATTTCCAAGGGGTCACATTTGACAATTTTGGCCCAAAAATCACTTGAGAAATGCTCAAATTGGTGAAAAACTGCATGATTTTGAAAGAATTTTTGGCCAGGGGATCCTTGCGAACCCCCCCCCCCCCCCCCACTGGCTACGGGCCTGTAAACAGATATCTTAGATTCAATAATGTAAGCTTTATAGTTCACTATACAGTAGTTCACATGTTATAAATCCTTTTCATTCTTGAGTAAACAAAATAAAATGTCAACTGATTTATATGAATGGGTCAGAGACTTTAAAAGTTTGAGAACAACTTTCATCATTGAGCCCGCTCAATGTTTACTTCGTAAAGTTGGCATTTAGATAACTAGCATCAAAGCCTGGTAGAATAGAGAGTACAGTAAGTTAATCTTCACTGAATCAACATCCAATTTATACCTAGCTATATGACAAAAATCATTTATACATTTTCATATATACACATAGCATAGGGTGGCCAGATCATTAAAATAGACAAGGCAAATTTAAATAGGTGAGGAAAATTGAGCTGAATGAGACATTATTCTACCATTGGACTTTCACTGAATAAATATATCTGCAAAATTTTGGTGACGCAACTGCCTTGTCTGTCTTATGCCTGTCTGTCTGATCAGTGATACCATTGACTATTATAGATGCATTCACGATATCATTCACATTGTAACCCTACAGCTCATTTGGTAATAGTTTACTGAATAATTTATCAATTCCCAAGAGAGATTATTTCAAAACAATGTAAATATAGAAATTTTATTTGATATAATCTCTAAAGTCAACTCATAATCAAGGCAATTGTATGGATTTTCAAGAGTTATGAATCATGATCATGACAGCATTAGGCTGTTACTTTCTTTTGGCCAAACTTCCTCCAGGGATATCTAGATCCTTATTAACTATGAATTATCTGTTAAAATTAAAAGTCAAAATTATCGAATTTTTAAGAACATTATTTACTTTTACTCATGAGTTTAAGATATAAACCAAAAACAAATATTGACATGTTTTGGTGTGATGTCCCAAATATTTAAACAACTGGGTGCTGCCCATGTGGAACATTTGAAAATGTACCACCTTGCTGAAAATCTGTTTGCACCTTGTGATGCAATATTATATCTAATATTCACCAGAACAGCTTCACCAAAACAGCTCAATCTAGTATTACTAAATCTTTCAGCTGTCATCAAGTTGGTCACCCTCCAAATGCAGAACTTCATACCTCATACACTCTGAAGGAAGAAACAGAGGGGATTGTTTCTGAAGCCCTGCATTTGGAGGATGCCAGATGATGTCCAAATCAATAATCTCAGTAGGAAGACTTACCAAGAGTTCTTCTACAGTTGTGCTGCATTTCTCCAGGTTTATACGTTTAATTGCTACTTTCTCATTGCGAGGCTTACATAATGCAACTTGAACCACAGCAGTGGCTCCAGCACCTGGAACAAAATCAATTGAATTGTCAACACAGTAATGGTAAACTCATCTCCTCAGCAGTTGATCTGGCATCTCATCACTGAACATATTCATCAATAGTCATTCTAATCAATCAAGAGACTCATCTTGATCATTTGTGAAAAATTTGATGAAAATGTCATCCGATGTACTTGGAACTTTTCGTGATTGACAGACATAGAAAGTCTTCCAATTTTCAATATCGCAGTTCACTCTTTGAATCTGAACGTTCGCAAATATGTAGCAAATATGTACTCAAAAAGGACTAAATTTGATTGGTCAATATTTTCCCACAATGCATTTTGCGTAGCTATTTGGGTGACCCGAAAGTTCTAAATCAAACTAATTATGCAAATTTGTTTTTACACCCGCACGCTAAATAAATAAAACAATGACACCATCGGAAGTATTCTTCTTTGTCATTGCTTTAATAGTCAGTATACCGAGTCTAATCAATAAAAGATTGTACAATGAACAACAAAATTCGTAAACGAGTACTATAGATTTACTTTTGAACCACTGAACAAATTGACCTAGATAATAGCAATGCGTCTTCTTTGGTCAACTGCTCAGTTGTTTGTGGGTTTTCAAGTGACAACGTAACTCTATAATGCAATTTGAAAATGAGTCGAATGGAATTATTTTTTCCAATATGGCAACTGTTCAACTGATCATGTGACCTTCTCTTCATGTCTTACGGAATATTTTCACTTTTCAATCATAGTTTTCACCACACTATAAACAAATATAATGAAAAAAATATCTGTTTTATTAAGATTAATAAGAGATCAATTGTTTCTAATAAAATATTTTCTGTCCTCTCGTACGGGAATATGAACGAATATATCGTTTGTAAACTGGATTATCACATTTGAATCTGTATATTTATAATTTTGGATATTTATCACCCCTTCAAAAATTTAACTTCTCTTCATTAATGGAATTCTGGCAAATTCTTGGAACTCTCACTTGAACAGAGAGTGAGAAGAAACTTCTTCTTCTTCTTCTTCTTCTATTACAGTGGCGTAGCGTGGCAATTTAACTAGGGGACGCAAAATTCCAAAATTGGGATGGGGGGGGGGTTTACCCGATACGCATTCATTTCCACTGGATTCGGCACATGAGCAGCCATTATGTACTTAATACGGGGGGGGGGGGTCATATGGATTACATAAGAGTATTCACGAAATTATGAGAGTATAATTTGAAAGAATCATTAATGACATGTCGGGACTAAAATAAACACCTAATTTCTATGGTTGAACCCTGTTCAAAGATACGAAATGATAAGGTTGAACAATGGCTTTGCTTATTAAAACTTGAGAAATTTAGAATTTCCAAATATTCAGATAAACATTGGATTGTTCCAGTGGACGCATTTGCGTACTTTGCGTAAACGACGCTACGCCACTGTATTAGAGTACAGACTCCTCTTTAGGATATTTCGTACTATGTGTGCTTGCGTGTTATCCCGTTCCCGGACTATAGTCCTGCACTGATCGCATTCATTTGCCTGTACGATTACAACTTGGGAGAATTATCTACGCCCCTTACACTTAAGATACCTACCTCAATGCATTATAGAACTCAAGATGTAACTTCTAATATATTGGAACCGCCGATTGTCTGGGTATATAGGCAGAACGGGAACATTTTCTCTTTTTCATCGAGAGAGATTCCATCACTTTTCAAAATGGCGGTTGGATTTAAAAGGGGAATCCCCCATTTGGCTGTCCCGGATGTAGCCCGGAAGTACCAATATGGAGGAATTTGACGGTTGAAATAAGTTAAATGTTACACGCAAATATTGCGATCAAAAACGAAAATGTCTTCGTTCTGCCAATAAACCCAGACAATTGTGGATTCAACTACACGAAGAGAATGCTAAATTACCAAGGAATCTATTGAAGTAGGTATCTGAAGTGTAAGATCAGTAAAAAATTCTCCCTTGTTGTAATCGCACAAGCAAAAGATTGAGATGTTCACAGGACCATAGTCCGGGAACGGAATAACTTGCGTGTGGTGTATATACAGGAAAATGACTGTGTATTTGGATCCAATTCGAATATATGCTTACTGACTACCCAAGTCATGTAAATAAAAGTAGACCAAATGACTTGATTGAGGGATTTGAACTTTTTCTAGAAATTGATTTTTTTGACTGTCGGACAGAAACTGAAAAATATTTTAGTAAGTTCATGACCAAACTCGCGTTTCTCCTATATAACAACAGTCAAATAGTTGACTGAGTAAGCAAAACTATATATAATCATATTAATCGGGTAAGTAAGATGTTAGATCTAGGACTAGATCAACTCCTTTAGAAATACTGGTATCACTTCCACTTTCGGTTTTGATGAACTTCGTTTCTAAAAAAATTAGGACCCTAACATTATAGCCTCGATTCTCAACATTTCAGTGTTGCTTATTAATTTCCTGAGTATCAGCTGATTAAATTATATATTCTCTTTTATTCTTTTGTATTAATATCATATTTTACTCACCGATAACTTCTCCAAGTTCATAGTCATCCTTGTTATTTGGCCAAGAATCAGAGGCCATTTTCATCAACCTTGACCTATATCTTCTCACCTCAGGTTTGAAGAGTTGAAACTCCGAACGTGACTCAAACGTGAATCAAACGTTCCGTAAGTCAGTTAAGGCCATAAGAAGTAGATTCTTCGTTTTGCGTCCCCTTGCTTGTACGATTTTGAGTAAATCAGAAAAAACAAACACATCCAAATAGCAATCACAAGGGTTTTAAAGTACCATCGCATTTCGTTCAATCAGAATCAGATGAAATGGTGGATAATTTGATGTGCGTCAAAATTGACAGTGTCTTATAATTACTTTGGCAAACATGGTGTATTTTCTTATTTTTTACCTTTGAATCATAGCTATGTTCTAATATATTGTATAAAATGTATAGATATGTGTTTGTAATCACTGCGAATTGGTAGGCCTATGTCATCCCTTTCATGCCCATAAAATGTATACATTTCTCAGAAAACAAGTTTGTTTTTTCTTGAGTTTGTGTTTGTTTTCCTTTTACCCTTACATGATATGGATTTTGCCAGGACGCAAAACAAAGAATCTACTTCTTATGGCCTAATCAAACAATAAGGGATTCTGACTCTGGGAACTAAATTGACCCACTCAACTTCAAGGAGAGAAGTACAATAGAGGAGTTTCTAAATTGCTTTGAAATCTTGCTAATTCTCGTTTTTACATGAGATTATAAGATATTTGCACTTTTTTCCTCTAATGAATTACTTTTCTTTATTTTTGATAGCATATTTGGATTCAGTGACAAATTTTCTCCAATTATAGCTTTGATCTAAACAGTTATGTCATTTAAATCATTTTCCGTGACATTTAAAAAAAACTTGGGCCAAATCTCCATTGGTGCAATGCTGAAATTCATTAAAACCTTGGTTTATTCGTATGGCAACCAATATTTTCACGGTTAATCACAATATGTACATTGACAGGATCATCCAATAGTATGCCATTCAAGTTTCAGACAGATTCAACCAACACTCTTTGATAAATCATGAAATTAAGTGACTGTTGCAAGTTTCTAGCATAGGAGTGAGTGGAGGTCTGGCCCTAGAAAATCAAAGACAAACAAGGGTGACATCTATTATGTCAGCCTTTTTCAGCTATTTAGAAACTATACTATTGTCATAATTTATCCAGTACAAAAACTATAGTCCTACACCCTATATCAAAGTGATCTAATCAGGGCACTGAGTTTGTTTAGATTACTAAACCATTTCAGAGAAAATGGCGATTAGTACTGAATACTCTTTCAAGATATGGAGATGTTTCACAGCTAGTTCAGCGCCCAATACTACAGCGCCCAGTCTCTAGGGAATTGATTGTACTTTGTATAGAGGTTACTTTGCTAAGGCCTTTTAACTCTTCTATCCACAGGTGTACAATTGTTTCCTATACAGAGTACAATCAATTTTCGCGATCCTGCAGGGGGATCAAGGATCTAACAAGGGTGGGGCCCATTTGAAGTCTAAAAAAATTTCTGCATAAAAATTTTTTGACTCCTAAATCCAAACTGTGGGCCCAAATTTTGAAAATTTAAAGCCCATTTTCCTAAAAATTTGGCCTAAATTCCAAAATAAAGCCTTACAAGTCCTATATTTGCCAAAAAGACCACCTTAAAGGCCTATTTTTGCCCCAAAGACCCATCAAAAGGACCATTTGAGAGTTTTTGGGCACTTTTATTGAGCCCAATTTTTTTTGTTGGCCCACCCAAAGGAGCAGAAGCACTCGTTGCCATAAGTCGCGCCCTCAAAACCCGGGTTTGCCGTCATCCAAACCCGCCTTTGCAAAAAAACGAACGGTGCATTATTTGACTCGTTCGTGTTATTTTCGAGAGTTTTCAAACCAGAATTTTCATTGCTTTTATTAGAAGGGTTCCTCGTAATTAACTCTTAACTATGGATATGTTGACTTAAATGCAACGGACCTTTAACGAGATGTTTTGGCATAGAGTTATGAATGAAGTAACTAGTATGATGAACAAGCTCACTGGCGGATCTGGGGGAGGGACAGCCCCCCCCCCTTGGGTGGGCCCAGAAAAAAATTAAGCCCCAAAAAGCCCAAAACGAGTGTGCCTTTTTGGGCATTACTGGGCCTTTTTTACTGTTTTATCAGCCTTGAAATTTGCACCCCCCCCTCCCACTTTGTTGGTTTCTGGATCTACCCCTGAAGAAAATTAACAAGGGGGGGGGGGGGGTAAATTTAGTCTGTAAAAAAAATTCTTAGCTTGCACCTTTAAAACCAAAAATTGGGTCCAATTTTTAAAACAAAGTTAAGGCCCTTTTTTGATAAATTGGCCAAAAATGCCCTTTAAGGCCAAATTATGCCCAAAATACCCATTTCTTAAGGCCTTCCCCAAAATTTTGGGTCCAAAAAGTAAAAAAAATCTGGGGGGCAGGTCCTAGTGTTGTTTTAGAGCAATTAGTAAATACATTGCCAGGTTTGTGAAATGGATTAATTTTAGCAAAATCAAGTATATCTGTTGGCACAATCAAGCACAATTGTCACAATCAATCTCTATCTAAAATCACTATATCATGTCATGCCATATCATGATCAAATCCCTTCAAGAGATTAATGGGAATGAATTGAAGAGATGAAGAGAACAGTAACAAGTAAATACAATATCAAGTCATTTGGGAGTTGAACCCAAACCAAAGAATATTACTTCCTTGGTGAAGCCCACACAACTTTGAACAATATTGTAAAAACACATTTATGTTCATTTTTGACAAACTTGCCCTCTGCTTTTACAAGGACTTGGGACCTTCTAGCTAGGCTAGGTAGCATTACAAGTTTGTCGGTCTTCACTCTTCACTAAACTTGGACACTCTATCGCTTAGTGGCTTTGCCGTCCATCTTGTTCTTCTCCACTCTTTTCCTATAGGATTTCGTACTCCTGGGTATCGCGACTTTAGGAACAAAGGCCAGATTAACCAGGACACAGCTAGTCCCTGGAGTAGGAGCAATCATAACATACCTTGGAGCAGGAGCTGGAGGAGCACTTGCACTGGAGGTGAATGAAATCAAGTTGGAAGTTGGTTGAGGGTTGGTTGAGGTTGAAAGGCAAGAGTATCAGGAAGAATCCTCCTGTTCACTCGTGAATAGGGCACATATATGCTATCTTGGGCATTGAACTCCTCCAGATGCATAATCCCTTCTTCAAAAACTCTCATCTGCATCACCCTCAACAGGCTCCATGTTGGCTGCCTCCTCACTTTCAGGATCAGTTAGGAAGTCCTGGAGTGTGTAGCTTGTTTTTGGGTAGAGGTACTCTGCCCCAATCAACTCTCCAGAAATATTTAACAATTTTTAGTGAATGGAAGGTCTTGTAGGTGTCTACATTTCTGCACATTTATAAAGATAAAGGTACATTTCTGCACATTTAATAGGTATTGCCCTTATACACTCTCCAGAAATTTTAAATGTTTAGAATTTTTTTAAAGAATCAAAGGCTTCAGAGACACCACATATTGACCAGAACAGATGGAAGCAAAATAACTTGGTATTTTTCAAGCTATAGCAGGTGGTGGGAGCTCAACAGTAATTTCAACCTAGTTTACATACCTATGTCCCTCCTAAGAGGGGTGAACTATTTCTGGAGCTATTTCTACATCAAACACATTAAGCCTAAACTAGCCAACTGCACTTTGCAGCAGAGTGTCTTAGTGGAAGGATGGCTAGATAAGGTTGCTGCATGGACCCTGTGCTCATTCCATCTTGCTAAACCTTCCTGAAATGCAAGGCACTGGCCCTGGTTCCTTAAAGTAAAGTTCAAACATTTTTAAACATTTTAATAATAACATACATAATAATATTATATTATATATATTATAAGACCCATCAAAGCAGTATTCACATATGCTAATATTTAAAACATTCTCTGAGACAGTCTGCATTGTCAGACACTACAAAATTATTTATCAAATGGATAAAGGCCCCATGTCAAGTTTGGATATATAGTTTTAATCATTTAAATATTACTTTTAATGACTTAAAAAACTATTAAGATAGGTTGCTCACTTTGTAATTTTCAAATATTTGAATTTTAAATGGGGCCTTTAATTTCTTCAGAATATTCCAAATAAGTAAAGACGCAAGCGATGTTGAGCCCCGGGGACATCTGTAGATGGGAAGTGTTACCCTACCTTTCACTAATGTCCCAACCTCCATGTACAGAGGAACAGGTTCTCAGATCTAGGTCCAGAAGTTGTGCTCGATAGTATTGCGTCCATCTCTACCTTTAAAGGTATTGAATGCTTAAAATAATTATCCGACCTTGGGGGACTTTGGGATTTGGGAAACGATTGAAGGACCACATCTCATGTTGCTTGCAGCAGCTCTGTATCTGTCACATCATCTGTGAAAAGATCCTCTTGTTGCCCTTTCTTCACTCCACTGTAAATAAAATAGGTCCATTTCAAAAGATTAATGTGAAAAATATGTATTATGATGAGTATAACATACAATGCATTTGCCAGTTTGATCACTTGTGTGCAACAAAGGGTTAGGCTAACCTGAGTGGAAAAATCTGGAGAAGCCCCTAGGATCATTAAGTGCATTCATTATATATCGGACTCAAGATATTATTTGATTTTTAAGATATGTTGACAAGGTTTTCATTAGCAGCAGGCAAGAGGCAATTTTCACCTGTTGTTTTCACAAAATCACCTGTTGTTTTCAGGGATTTTTCAACTTTTCCATGTTAAATTTATGATTTCCATAAATTTTTCCTGTTTTCTTTTATTTAGCCTGTTGTGAGAAATTCTAGTGAAACCCCTGTGTTTATGTAATACTATAGAGTTCACATTAGCTTCGTCAGGTTTCAAAATAATTTTATAACATGTTTGTATATACTAGGAATATTATTTGAGGTGTAACAAAAAATTGTTACATACTGTAAAAAAATTTATACCCCAATCAAACATTTAAACACTAATATATTCACTGTTGTAACAGTGAATATCTTTCAGTGTTTGAATGTTTGATTTCTAAATTTTGTTATACGTCCGTACATGCTAGAAATAAAGTTAGAGATCCTACATATTGTGGATCAAAAAAATGTTTGCATGTGTAAAAATTAGTACCGTGGGTACTGGGCTCACATGGTCACATTTTTTGTTGATTTTTTTTTACAAAAT